CGGACCCTCAGGGCGTCGGCCGTCACCGAGGAGGTGGCCGGCCCTGAACCTGTGAGGCTGTAGCCCAGGCTCCCTGACCGCCACAGGGCACCTGAAGGCTGAGGCTGAGGGCAGAGGTGGGACTCTATGGCTTGGGTAGGAGGTGTGATTTCAGAAAACAGTTGTGGAACGAGTCCTGGGCTGAGAAAGCTGGAACCTCTCGAGGAGTCTGTGTTGTCCGGCCTTCGGGCCCTTCCTGCTGCAGCGTCTCGTGCCCGGATTGCTGTTCGGGCTGCGGGGCTTGAGAGGAGGCACCAGGGTCGCCCGCCCGCCGCTGGGCAGTCAAGCTAGGGATGGGGCGATCATCCGGCACAGCCAGGGCTGGGGAGGATGTCCATGAAAAGTGCCCTAGGCAGTGGCTTCAGGGGTGCTTCCAGCATTCAGTTAATAAATAGCTTCTGCTGACCTGGGGTGGCTCCTTTAATTCTGTGGTGACCACAGAGACGGCGAGCAGCCCATACATTTCTGATTGATGGGGACGGTTACTGGCAGAGCACTGCCTCTGTGATTTCAGTCATTGTGGCTTTTTTTTTTTTTTTTTTTTTTCAAAATGAACTCTATAGTGTAGAAGTCCAACCCCAGAAAATCTCATAGCTAGAACATTTTTCCTTTTCAGCTATTGATGTCCATTTTACTTAATTTTTGGCTTCGCTCAGGTTGGTGTGGTTTAGCAATCTGAAGGCAGTTACTGTTACTAATTCAAAAAAGGGATACACAATAGGAAGGTTTCCAATTTGGAAGCATTTCTTAAAAGGAGCCTGAATTCAAAATTCTGACTTTATCTTTATCAAATGCTCTTGGCAATGTTGAAGAAATCTTCTGGGGGAAATTTAATAAACATTTCTTGGAGGGACAGCACGGGTGCAAACATCAGGGTTTCTCTCCGAATGCCTCTCCGACTTGACTTCTGCACAGTGATCCAGCGCTGGAGCTCTAATCACAAAACCTCCCCGCCTGCTTCCGGACCCTCCTTCTTCATGACCAGCCACCCTAATATCATTCGTGTCCTTGCCTAGCAGAATCACTTCTTTGTCTCCCAAAAAACAGAACTTGCAATCAATGAACACAGACAAAATAACAGCACTTGAACTTCCTTCTTTATTTTTTGCATCATATAAACAGGTGATAAAATACTGTGTACAAAGCAAAAGGCTCGCCCCCTTTTCTCTCCTTTCACAGAGGAACAGGAAAAATGTAAACCATGTTTCCGTTGAACTCCTGAGTCCTCCCAATTTTTTGCCAGCCATTTGAACAACATTCACTTGTTTGTTTATACCAACGTTTAACAGCATAAAGAGTAACACAAGCAAACAGCCTGAGACATTTATCTGACGTGTTCAGATGGCGATACAGGCTCGTATCGGCACCGTTTTCAGTCTGACAAAGAAAAACACTGCTTTAGGAAGTGGGTCATGTGGGTGTACAGGTGCTTCGTGGACAGGCCGGCGATGCCGTGGTTCTGGTCCGAGTACCACTGAAACACAAAGGGAAGAAGCCGCCTTATTCCTGTGGCCTTGGCTTTTTTATTCTCTCAGGACCTACCTAGCTAGCTTTTCTAATATTATAGCTGAAATTCTACCTAAGAACACTCGAGCACACAAATGTAAACATTTAGAGTGGGGCAATGTAAAGACCTACTAAGCTTCACCACTGTTTCATGTGCTTGAAACCATTTTTTAGATCATGGTGGCTAAGCTTTGCCCCGGGGATCAGGAGGCGGGCTCAGGTCCCAGGGTTCGTGGCTGGGTCTGTTGCTTTGCTCCTCTGTAGCTTGGTTTCCTCGTTTGTAAAATGAGGGGCCTGGATTTGATTTTCCTTAAGGTTCTTTCTAGCTCAGACATTCCACGAGGCTTTTAGTCTCTGACTCTAAATCTTCTCTGTTGCAGAAAATCCACAACACATAAACATAAACATCCTTTATAGGAGCTAAAAATATCATTAAAAAAACAGAAATATGGTATCATAGATTTAAACTTTATTGTTGGAGAGATGCTGGTAAGATTATTGTTTTCACTGAATGAAGCTGGCTAGTGGTCATGATACAATACTATAGACTTAAACACTGAATTTACTTTGCGGGGGTGGGTCACAATAAAAAAAAGACCAGAAAAATCTCACCTCACCCTTTGTACATTATTTAAAAAAACCCAAACAAATTTCAAAAAGGTGGGGGTTTCCTTTTCTGGATTGTTCAATATATAAGCAAGTGAGAGAGAATTTATGCTTCCTGAAGAGGGGGAAAGATAGATATTAGAGATTGTCTCCCTTGCCTTGGTTTTTGCTTTTTTCTCTCTGCTTTCATTTCCCATTCCTCATGCAAACTGGATTTTACAGTTAGCTCATTCATTCATTCACTCAGTAAAAACAGGAGCTCCTGTGGTGGGCCAAGCATATGCCAGGAGCTGAGGACATATAAAAGAAAAGATTTTCTAACTCTGAGTAGAGCTGCATGACTTCAGGAGCCTCCCGGGTCTCTGACAACTTTCCGCAATTGCTTCTTATGGAATAAACAGACCCCCAGGTTTTGCAGGTACTCTCAGCACACGGGATCACAGAACTAATGGATGTGTGAGCTAGAAGATCATCTAATCCTGTGGATGCCTTTATTTTATGCATGATTCAGCTGGGATCACCAGAGGGGCCATGGCTTGCCTAGTGTCCTTCAGGGAATTAATGAAAAAAAATCAAGATTCACTTGCTAATGTTATGATGTTACTCTACCCTCCAAAGTCTTTGTCAGATTTTAGTAAACAAACAAACAAACAAAACAAAACAAAGATAAGATTCCTCCTTTTAGCTGAGGGGTCTAAGGCCCTGAACACGAGTAGAACGAAATTATGTACCATTGCCTGGAAATCCACTTGTGCATTAACCAGAGCTTTAGCAATCTGTGCCGAGTTTTGAAAGTGCACATTATCTGCAACAAAGAGAGAGAGTGAAAGTGCTGTGAAATACCAGGAAGCGCAGAGTGACAATGTACCGCCTGGAAATGAACACCAGCAATTATCTAGTCGTGCCGTTGACACTGTCAGCCGTGCGCAATCGCACGCGTTCATGGAAACGTCCCCGACTCCTAGGTACTGACCCCGCGCACGGGCACAGGAGATGCTTAATGTTTCTTAAACAAAGTGATGCTGGCTCAGTATTTTTATGTGTAAGAGCCTTGCTTAAACCTCACCATCTGCTGTTCCGTGGATGAGAAGATAGTCTACGTTTCTGAAATATTCTGCTCTTGCCATCACGGTTGAATTCTGGAAAGGAGGAAAAATTAACATTTTAGTTGCTGCAAGTTCTAATAGAAAACCAGCTAAATCATTGTGCAATGGACTTCGCACCGATACTGAAATTATGTATTGCTTTGGTTGATAAATATTTAAGAGTCAGAGCAACACATTTCCTTCATCATTTGCATTACTTCCATCTGATTCTTGGTTTGAAAAACTGAAAGTTTATGTGTCATATGTTACATATGAGTGAGACCTTAGGCATAAATGATGCCTGCTCAAGCTGTGTAGGGGTTGGGGGTGGGGAGGGGGAGGGAACAAGAAAGAATACAATCCAAAAGGAGTGAATTCCTTTCTAGTGAGGTGTTTTGCAGCGAACAAAAGATCATCACGTTTGCTTGGGGGACCCAGCAGAAGTGGAAACTCTGTATGACAGCTTTAAAATTATTTTTGCACATTTGCAATAAATCAATAGCCTACATAAAACAAAAAATTCTTACTTTATAGTGCTCGAGATTATCATCCTTTGTTGGGAGACCCATGAATCGCTCCGTGTAGATAGATGCTATAAAATATATAAGAAGATGCTGTTTGCACATGGCATGTATCATTGCATTAACCAACGAGACCCCCTAGCTGGATCGCTGCTCCTCGGCTCTCCTGTGTGCAGCTGCTGGGGAAGGGCCTTGCTCTCCTTTCCTGCAATGCTCCACCCAAGGCTATGGCTCTGCAGTTTGCCTCGATAGGGCCGGAGAATAATAGAGGAGGAGATTGTGGAAACAGGAGCATCTATCATTAGAAAGGGCTGATGTTTAGTTTTTTCACTTCTACCCAAAGCACGTCAGTGGAGGGAATGTTGAGATAGACATGACCCTTGGAATGACCTCATTATTTTTAAAAGAAATCACAAATGCAGCCACCTGTATTACTTTCCTTAGTGTCTTAAATAATCTGGGATGGAAATACGTGCGACAAATTCTCCTCCCTCAACACACATATACATTATTTTTCTGAATAAAGAGTCCCTGTAAGTCACAATTATCTCATTTCCAAGCCAACACAAGGAAGAAGACCTGATGAAAGCTAATTTTTGTACAATTATTAGAGTTAATTCCAAATAATCATCTTGTATTGATATTAATCATAAAAATAGGCAACCTGGGGAGGTATACTTCTTGAACAGGTATTTATTGCTCTGCTTTCTGGAGCAATGGAGCTGGAAGCTGTAAGTTGTGGTGTGGAGATGAATTAATTGGCCTTGGTCTGACTTGGTATAGGATGTGCTTAAAAGCCAGCTGTGCAGCAACTGTGCGCCTGCAGGAACACAGTTAGCTCTGGCTTTAAAGGTTTGGTTCAGCAGGAGGAACAAGGCTTCTGGAGAAAATAAGATATATTGGATTTTGGAAAAGTCCTTCCTCACTCTAAAATTTCTTTGATTGTTACAACATGATTATAATGAATCCTATAAATAACCTTGTTTATACATTGTATTTCCCCCAGTGATGCTAAGGTGAATTTTACAGCATACTTTGTTTTCCTAGCAACCTCAAATATAGAGTAATTATGTGTTAAATGTTTCCGCAGCAACATTTATGAAATGTTTCCATACCGTAGTATTCCCAGCTGGAGACTGGAGCTACTGCTATCCCACATTTGAAAAGACCAGTTCCGGAGGCAAGGGCCAGTGATGAAACATAACCACCGTAGGACTGTAGAGACATTGGTATGAGTTAGTCCTACATTTACTTTCATAAACTCTCCTCTACATTTTTACAGCAACTTTACTCACAATAAGTGCTGATGGGAACTGGGGAACACGGATAAGGTAGATTAAATGTCTACCTTACACCTTTGGCAGCAAGCCCCACCAGACGTGAGGGTAATTTCATCCCCAGTAAATTTTAAATACTTGGTGTGCTGATCAGAACATGGTAAGAGCAGTTTAAAAGATGGATATAATTGCAATTTTTCTGCAAAAATCTCTCTTTTTCCCCCTCTTCTATATTTTTCCAACCAGGGCCTTGCTACAGCAAAAACAGGATTCGACTTCAAAGAAATGCACCAAAAAAGATGCTTCCCAAAATGTAAATGCAAGCTACTTCCCATAGCTTGCAAAAGTCCTTTTGAGGCAGAACTTGTATCTGTGTATTTACTTATTTTCATCACAGAACAGCAAGGGAAGGACATAAGAACCTTCTAGATTGTTTAGGACATGGCCAGGGTTTGTGTATAAGGTCGCGTTGCATATTCCGTTTTAAGGATTTCTGGCAAGGCAGCTGAAAGGAGGGAAAGCCACTGGTGTTTTAAAAATGTTACATACCCTCCCACAAATATAATACAAAAACAAAGAAATACACAAGGGAATACACCTTTCAGAGTCGTCAAGAGCAGGTTTAGCTTTCATCACTTTTCTTCCCCCAGGAATCAATAGGTAATTCCGAAATGTGACCCTAATAACATAAGGAGGTGCTTGTTGTTTGGAAAACTGAACCTTTTTCTAAAAATGAAGAAAGAACCAGAGCATCACAATTAGCCTGCATCCCCCTGGACGGCACCTCTGATCTGTGTACACAGCTGGGAGAGGTACTGCTCCTGGAATCACGGACTAAGCAGTATTCTGGGGACTCTCCAACTAGGGACGTACGTATCTTGTTTTTAAAATATTATTACCACACATTTCTGGAAATAATTTCCCTCAGGTCAGGAGAGATCATATCACATTTTGGTGCAGAAAGGTCCATCTTTAGAGAGGGTGAGAGTGAGAGGAGAGCTCTGCAGAGCAAGAGAGACAGACAGACAAACATGACAACTGCAGCAGGTCAGTGGCGGGGGTCTAATCTTAATCCATAAAATACATGAAATGGAGGAAAGAGCTAAACAATCTTGCTGAATTCAACAGTTAAAGGAGGAATTCTCTACCTAATTTACAGTTTGATTCATCCAGCTCTGGGGAGTTTTACTGAGGACCCCGGAGTCTAAAACACAGAATAAAAGAGGCAGTTCTGATTATACCATGGGCTCTTTTTACTACACATGGAGGAAAACGAAAACATGTTTTAATAGGGGAAAATAAATTTTAAAGATAGAAGAAATATTTTGGGCTTCCAAATCATTTTGGTAAGTGAAAATTCACCGCCAGGTCCAAACTTTCACCTACAATACCAAAACAAATTTCTTTTGATGAGTAGGTTAGCCAACAACCATTACTGAGACAGAATATATTTTCTTCCTTCTTAATTTTAGGTTTAAATGAGAGTAGAGTAAGCCTGAGTCCATTAGAAAAATCAGTAATGCTCATGGTTTTACTGCAAATAACAATACCGGGTCCTTCTCCTCTCCTTTGTCCCAGACTAGGAAACAGCATGGAGTGAGATTGGAAGTCAAAAGCGTTTGCATATAGTAAAAAGGTTTTTGAACATTTCTGTTCAAAATCTTAGAAATCCTTGACCTGTACCTACTCGGTGATCAGATAATAGTGCTGCATCGAAATAAAATGTTCATGTTTTCAGGGTGAGTACAAACTGTCTCTAAGACTGTGTAAGAACAACACTGCTGTAGCAGCGGCACAGCGGAAGGTGTACTTTACACTCTCAGGCGGCCTAGCAAAGCTGTTCCTATTGTAGAAAGGAAGAGAGAAAAAAGCACCGGAGTTCACTTTTTTCTGCTCTCCCCTGGGTGGGGCTCCAAGGCAGAGTGGGTGGCTGCCGCGAGAAAGAACCCACGGAGCAGATTGGCCATGAGAATTCTAGAAGTTTGTCCTTTGCACTTAGAAGCTTTGCCATTTTGCTTAGATGAAGGATGTCTTTAAAACATTTTTAGAAGGGCACAGAATTGTGAGGGGTTTATGGAATATTCTTATGCGAGCTATCCGTGCACATGGGAACATTTTACCTCAGGCGATAACAATGAGCTAATGTTTGTACGGCCACGGTTATTGCAAAGGTCCTTGTGGTCCCACACAATCTGTCTCCCTTCTCTCACCTCCCACCTCCCCCTTGCTCACTGCCCATGTTCATGTTCTTTGAACTCTCCAAGCATGATCTAGCCCCAGGACTTTTGCAAATGATGTCACCCTCTGCTTAGAAAATGCTCTTCCCCGAGAAATAATCTGCATGGCTTACTTCCTCCCCATTTCAAGTCTGAACTAAAAAAAAAGCTCACCTTTCCTTCTGATCTAAAAACCTACCAGCGCTGCACACCAAGCTCCTTTCGTGTTTTGTTTTTCTCCAAAGCACTAAACATCCCTTAGCATCCTAAACATTTTACTTACTTATCTTTGTTTATTGTCTTTCTCCCAACCATTCCCAACTCCAGAAAGGTAGAGATTTTTGTCTGTCTTGTTAATGATTATATATATCCCCAGCACCGGGAATATGACCTAAAACACAGTAGGGATATATTTTTTAATATACAACTTTCCTATTAACTCCTCTAACCCTCACAGTGGCTTGGTGAGAAAATTATTGATGAATTTCCTGAAGAAACTGAGGCTCAAGGTCCACTGAGAGTAGTTACGTAGTCAGTAAGCAGCAGAGCTGGGATCAATCCCAGGACGCCTGGCTCTACAACCCATGCTGTTTCCTCTGCATCCCTACACTTGAGCAAACACCTTGGGGAGCTTTAAGTTTAGAATATAATATAGTCTCGTTAGAGGTGCATTGGTCCTACTTTTACATCATTGATCACACATAGCAATTCAAATTGCTTATAATTAGTCACTGGAAGAGAAAGGAGCTAAGATTAAATCATGAACTAATGCTTATTCAACACCACCTGGCTAGGCCTATATTAACAAAGCAAAGCCCATAAATGAGGTTGTTATTCTAATAATTTAGGCAAAACCCCCGCTGCTCTTCAATTGTCAGAAAATAATTGCTCCAAGTTTTCTCCGCATAAACCAGGGTTTTGCAACCTCAGTGCTATTGACATTTGGGGCTGGGTAGTTCTTTTTTCGGTGAGATCTGTCCTGCGCATTGTGGGATATTTAACAGCATCCCTGGCATCTCTTCACTAGATGCCAGGAGTACTACCCCAATTGTAACAACCAAAAATCTCTCCAGACAGTGCCAAATGTCCTCTGAGGGACAGAACTGCCCAGTTAAAACCTCAGTAACAACAGACACTTCCTAGGCACAGTACTAGGGGCATAGTGGATATCTAATAAGCAGCTAAAAATAGGACTGGACTTTGGTTTGTGTGAGCCAGGAAAAATGAAAGGGTAAGATAAAAATTCCTCATCTCGTCTTCATCTGAATAGTGGAGGGAAACATAAGATTTGCAGTTCATTGACCAATTGACTCCAGAAAGTGTTATGTGGTTAGCTATGGTATATTTCTCAGCCCACTAACATGCCTAACACTTCATGGAATCAGAAACTTCCTTCCCAAATATGGAACACAATAATAGCTAAATAGCTCTCATGGCCATTCCCAGTGTCTTCCTCTTACCTCTCTCAGTTTCCCCTAGGTCCCTGATTATTATACTATAAAAGAGCACTCAGAGCTATGACCTCTTCCCACCACCTACTTCACTGCCTAAATTCAGGTCCTTGGTATTTGTTGCTGGCATTATTTGTCTCCTAACTCCTTGGCCCGCTCCCTCCCAGCACCACAGGCCATCTTTTACTTCACAGCCAAGAATATCTTCCTGAGACACCAATTCCACTTCCTGTTGAGTTCAAGAGCACTTCACAAAAAGGTATCCCTGGAATCAAATACTTTTTGGTGACACTGTATTAAAATTTAAATGATTCTTTAACACTGCTTTCCTAGAGCTTATATACAGTATTATACAGAATTTATGATTTACCAATCAGAGGAGAGAATCTTTTCTTGAAAAATTTCTTGGCATTAATAGAACACATTTGGGGAAACACTGATTTATAAGGTTAAATTCAGTTTAAACAACATCGTAGATGTGTGACATGGCCAAGTATTGTGTTAAACAAAGCTAAAAAAAGACAAAGTCCATTCCCTTGATGAGCTTACATTCTTGTGGGAGAAACCAACAGACAGACAAGATAAAACATTGTAATTCCTATAACAGCCGTATAAAGAGCTATTGGAGCACAAAATGTCATATCTGCGTTGGGTCTTAAAAAACACGTAGGAATTTTCCATTGTGGAGAGAGGAATATGTGGGGAATGGAAGAGAATGGATATTGCAGGTGCAGAGAACAAGACTGACAAAATCACTGGAACGAGGAAACACAGACATAAGTCAAATTATTCAACAGGTGTGAGGAAAAGTAGAGATGAGGCTGGAAAACTAGGTGGCAAACAGCTTGCCAAGAGCCTTGCACACATGGAATTATGTTTGGGTGCTAGATTGAGGTCAGTATGTAACCCTACAAAATATATAAGCAGAAAAGCAACTTGTTAAGAGTTGTTTTGTAACAATAACTTCATTAGAAATATTGGAGCTTGTGAGGACAAAGCAGTGAGGCTAGTTAATAGGCAATTAGAATAGTTAAACTGGTACCACACAATCGATGGTCTGTGGACCAAAAGAATCAGCCTTACCTAGAATCTTGTTAGAAATGCAAATCCTGGGGTTCTACCTGGAGTACTGAATCATAATCTTAGGTAGCAGGACCCTGGAAACTGTGTTTTAACAAGTTCTCCAGGTGATGCTTATGCAGGCCCAAATTTGTGAAGCTCTAGTCTAAATCACATATGAAGAAACTGAACTAAGGCAATGTCAATGGGGATGATGAGAGCAGATTTCGATGTTTGAAGGTAGAATTGACAAAATTTACTAACCAACAGAACGCTTGGAGTCAGAGAGCAGGGAAACTCGAAAATAGCTCTGAACTTACTAATTTGGGTGACTATGTGTGTGGTGAGGTCCTTAATAAAGATGAGGACTTGTTTTAAAATAGACTGTAACAAATTTAGCTTGAGAAAGTTAAGCTTGAGGCCCCTCTTACTTGCAAAAGTAAGACATTTGCAAGAGGTCATCAGCAGGTGTTTGAAAGGTGGAGCTCAGAAGAAAGATGTGGGCTAGTGGTAGGGATCTGGCAGTCATCATTAATCTTGAAACCACATGGTTTTCCCAAGGAAAATGAAAAACAATGAGAGTCAAGGCCCGACCCAGAGAAACACCAACATTTAAAAAATGAATGGAGTGTGATGACCATAGAGCCATAGAAAAATGAGAAGAGAAATATGCCACAGAGCCATGGAGGAAGCCCATTCTTCTTTATGTGGCCCAAAAGGACTCCTGTTATCTGGCTATCTACCTACTCAGACTCACCTATACCTTCTTCATCATACGCCTTATATTTCTGAAATTTCAGACATCCCTAACCAACTCAGAGTCTCCTCCACACCATACTTTTTCTTACCTTAGGACCTGGGCAATGTTTTCTTCACTCTGCCTGGAATGTGCCTTAACTAACCTCTCTTCAACAAGTTCAAACACTAGCTCATTTCTGCATCTCTGCTTAGCTCTCATTCTTCTCCTTGGTATTCTTCACAAGTTTTATTTCACTTAACACTTGGAACATTTCCTGAACAATTCTTTTCTTGCTCTCTGTTTTCTCTACTAGAGGTCCAGGGAAATAACTTACTCATCTTTTCACCCTCTAAAGAGCCTAACAGAAGACCTACTTGAAATCCACTAAAATTCTGGTATATGGAAGAAAGTATGAATGAGTCAATGATAAAATGGATGGATTAATAAATATAGATTGGTCTTAAACTCAAAGAATTGACAAAAATAGTACAGTAATAAGGCCTTTTTCCTTCAGGAACTCCTAGGTCCTCCTGCTGATTAAAGGGCTGCTCAAGTGTTATATCTGTTAGCAGTTCACTCATTTCTTCTCCCACACATGTTCTTAGGGCTTACCCTACAATCACTGCTATGTTGGAAAGTAAGCAATAAAGGGGGCCTAATATACTATTCTAGAAGCATTTGCACAGACATGGTGTGAATCTCTTATTGAAGAATTTCAGACTGATATGGATGTATTTTTGGGTGATGAGTGGGTTCCTCAAATCATCCCACATAGATGGTTCTCTACCAAGCTAATACTTAGAACATTCTGGAAACGAAAAGTTCCACTTTATGGTTATTTCAAACCCTACAATGAAAGCAAAATAAAATTCTAAGAGAAATGTTAATGATTCTATGTAAGTGTGCAGCTTGAAATTTGAATCTTTCAAGGATTTACTTTAGGAAACTTCATCAAAATTGATTGTAGGAAAGGTCTCATCTGAAATATTTCACTATAAAAAATTTTATTTATTTCCACCCTTTGAATCTCATTCTGTTTAGGTATTTAACATATGATAATTTTAAGAAGCACCGAATGGCCTGAAGTAACAACTTTCCATAAATTCATAACAGCTCTTCACCTGGTTACTGAGCTGAGACTTCAGCTGAATTCTGCAGATTCCCTTTGATATTGGGTTTCGTTCCCTGCATCTTGTGCAGGCCGCTCTCGCAGAGAACAGCCAAGAAAAACAACCCAAGCACAAATGGCTGCAAATTGACTTGCAAATGTACAAATTCAGACCAAAAAGTGAAACAGGAAATCTTTCTTGAAAGGTAATTATCATAATTTATAGTGGGCAAATCTAAGTTCTTTCCAATATTTCTCTAAACTTTTCAGTGACTTCATTGCCCATAACCGATAACTTTTACTACCCACTTTTAATGTGTATTTTAAAGACCTGCACAATTCCTCAAACATGGGAATTATTGAGATGACCTATAACTAAGAAACTAATTAATACCTCTCTAATTAGCACAGATTAACAGTAGGTCTGATAAAAAAATGTGATGACCTCTCTGCCCCCTCAAACAAGATATGACTGGGATAGAAAATATACTAGGGAATTGATATTCTTTAGCTTAGCTTTTCATTAAAGTAAAATGATAAAATATAAAATAAAAGATACATATTAACCTAAAAATAATAAAAAGAATTCAACATCTGATGAATATAGTTCAGTTCAGTAAAATATAATCTAATACCAAAAAATTAAATAAAACTGTGTCGATCTTGAGTTAATTTGCTACACAGGGAAAAAAACAAAATGATTGGAAGAAAAAAAAGAAACAAATACTTATAGCCATCACTTTGAAGCCAAGATTATTAAAATTTGACTGTTTTCATTGACAGATTACATTATGTTGTAACATTAACATTTCATGAGAAACCTTATAAGCGAACAATTTAGAAAATGATGATTGCTGAACTGAATCACAGGCATAAAACATATAAAACAACTCACCCAGCCCCATATGGCTATTCTTTTTTCATCAATGAAACCCATTTCTATGAATTTTCTAAAGTAAAAGAAACAAATTTTTAGAATTTTAAGTGTGTACACATGACATTTACTTCATTACACAAGCATATTTAATCCAAAAACTTAATAGAAGTGCTACATTTTCTTTGTTTAAACACATGCATAATCAGGCTCCATTTACAAATAATTAAAAGAATATTATCATGTTTTCTGCAAAGGATAAAAGCACCCTCTAGACTCTGCTGTACTTCTATTGAGTAGTACTTTTTAGGGCTGGAAGGCCTCGTATCTTAATTGTGTAGGTGAGTTACGTGGGACTCAAAGAGGTCAAGATACAGGCTCACAGTAGCACAAGAAGTAATAGCACCATGACTAAGAGCATATTTCCAAATCTCCAGCTTTTGAAAAAGAGATTTTTGTTGTTGTTATTTTAAATGTTATTAATTTTTCATGACCTTGTTTGCTTAGATGTGAATAATCACCATCTCATTTTTGGTCACATCCATCCATGGAAAAATATCCACCCTTCTCCCATTTCATACTCAGGTACCCTCAATTTATCATGGTGTGAATGATGACATGTATCTTTTAGGATATGGTCATGATTCAATTGAGCTCCATCACAGATGAGCCTCCATTTGAAAACTATTTTGAAAATAAATCTCTCCTTAGGAGCAAGGGGCATGCTGAAGGGCAACCTTTAAAAGTCATAGGAAGACCTCAGCAATGTAACTTTGCAAGGCTGGCACACAAAAAAAGAAAAAAGAATGTTTTAGGCTAATTTATTCCATGCTCCCTTGAGGGCTGGTGTTTGAGCAGCAGTTGTGATTTATTTGGGGAATTATTTGATAAAAACTCAAGAAACTCTCAGAGAATCAGAAGCAATGGAAGAAAAAAGCAAACTGGAGGAGCCATTGCAGAGGTCAGGATGCAACAGTAATGGGAAGGAAGGGAGGAGACAAAGTGGCGTATGGCCCCAGAAATGACAATTTTTTTGTTTCCTTCAGTTAGTTAATGCTCTTCCTGATTTTTCTTCTAAAGCAGGATGGAGTGGTTTCAATAGCTAAAAAACTGTGTTTCTTCACAGTGACCGTTTTGCTCGTTGCATTGATTCGACGTGTACGTCTCCGATGCATAGAGGAGTTGGGCAGATGCCCGGGACAAACAGATGGGAAGAAGCCCCGTCAGTCACAGCTTACCCAACACTGATTTTGAGGGACACAGCCGTGTACAGGGAACAAATACAGTAGCAAATGGAAAGTTGCTACCTGTGTGGATGCCGCTCATGGTAAAGCAGAGAAAACGTGCAGCCAATTGTGGCATTTTGGCAATTATTCCACAAACTTCAAAAACCCAAAGAAAGAAGAAAAGGTCCACTTCCTTTGTTAAAAAAGTAAGCTTGCCACTACAGCTCGAAGACAGTTCTGAGCCATAAAACGAATTGTGATTTTTACGATCTCCCAGAAGCTAGCAATCATATTGCCTTGCATCTGGGGTAAAAGCAAATAACAGGTGATACATGGGAACAGGAAATTCTTAACAGCTCCCTTCCTAGGTGTATTCTGAACCGATGACATTTACAGGAAATGATAGAGCAATAGTTAAAATGGAAATGAAACATTAACACTTAATGTGGCAGGACTAGGTGAAAAGGTTACCTAGATAATGTGAGCACTTTGAGACCAACAAGGTTCTATAAAATTTACCTCAAATTCTGAAGAGCTTCCCGGAGGGTTATCAGAAATACTGTTGATAATGTGGTTAAATCAACAAAATGTTAGTAACAAATGAAAAAACATGTTTTTCTAATTTGGGATGCTGGACTGAACTTTACAACTTTTCTCTCATGAAAATGGCCCTACACCAAAGGTCAACTTGGAATTCTAGTCATCAATTATTATTCTATTTTGGAAATGTTCTTATTGATATCACATATGACAGTATATTTTTATCAGATAATTCTTCTTTAACATTAACCCTCAGGTATATAAAATTTCAAAATTTTGAGAATGAAAAAAATACCAAATATACCCCAAATGAGCAAGGTTGACTTTATAACTACTGGAGTTTTAAGGTTCTCACATTCGCAGAGAAGCCCAAAGAAACTAGGTTCCAGTTTCACTTATTCTTTAACCTCACAAGCATCTCCTTTGAAAGATTTCCTTTGTACAGTCAAAAGTTGCAAGGTTGTGTGCTTTCTTTTTAATTTTTTTCCTGCTTTTCTTTGTTTGAACCTATTTATTGACACTGACTAGTATTTACTGTTGTTTCCAAACATGTACATATGATTTTCTTTTGGTATTCAAAAAAAATCAGCCAGATTGAATTTTATAAGAGATTCATGGGAACAAATTTCATTCTTTTGTGGGGAGGTAATTTGAGGGCTACTACAGAGGGATTACAATCCCAATTCCCTTAATCAGACGTTCAGTGTCAGATTCTTAAAACACTTCTTGGGGAGACATGTGGTTGAATTATCCCCAAGATTATCATTATAAATCTATCCTTTTTAACTTTTGTTTTCTCAAAGCATTGAGTTTCAAGACTTCCCTTTCACTTTTGCAGAATAATGGTTTCAAGCAAAGCCAAGGCCAGCCCCAAAGGGCATCTCCACTGTTTCCTATGTCCTTTGTGTGGGCCACGCAGCAGCCCCTTGTTCACTGGGATGCTTACAGAAAATTTTCTCGAACAGCACTGTTGTCCCTTTAGAGTGCAAATGGTTTATCCACTTTCCAAAGACTGCAAGTTCATTGAAAACAGAGATTGTAAACTGCACAATTTCATACAGAGTGTATTGCAATGGTGTGTATTAATATTTGATCTTGTTGAATGGCTGAGTAAATGAGTGAGCATATGCCTGATCTCTAGCTGGAGACTTTCTTTAGGTTTTATCCTAAAAATGGATCGTTGAAGATAAAGGCAGACAATTACCGTCTCTGGTCCATCTTCAATTCTAAATGCCAAAGGCATTTATGTTATTATGAAAATCAGTAGACTTCGTGGCTTCCAGTGCCATACGTTGAACATCAGAAATAATATTTTTTGCTAAGGTTTATACATGGACCTCTGGTTTAAATTTTCATTCCATTCAGGAGCACATTAAGAAGCTATCTGTTCAGTTTCTTGAGGAATTCTTAAATGTGAACTCTGCGTTTTTGGTGGTAAATAAATGCTCAGAAATATAATGCTGCATTTTGTTGTTATTGGTAGGTTGTGGTGATGAAATGATGATGATAGTGAGATTTTTAACCAATGCCAAAACAAACCACTTTTTAGCCCTATTAATTTTGGAAAATATCTAATTGAATTATAAGTAAGGCATAATTTACATCTCTGTCTTTTGATGTAGGCCCAGGATTACATGTCCTTGGTATTTATTGCATGGTTTAAATACAAATAGATTTGACCTGTAGTGTGAAAAAATATTTAAAGAATTAAGTCTATAATGCTGACAATTGTGTTAATATCCCCGTTAAGACACAGCAAAATCTTTTATGAGAAACTGATCTCCTGTGTTTTTCTTTGAACTGTCTCTGTTTCTCTCCATCAGGCAGAAGACGCTCCCAAAGTTAATAGTGGAAAGGTCGAAAATCTGGATTAGTAAGAAAGGTGGAACTTTCTACTAGTTAAGCATGAATGATTCCTATAGATAGTGTAGTGTTATTTGATAATCTACTTATTAATTGTAAGATTTTACTCAAAGAGTGCTTTTAATCATTTTTGGTGTGTATTTCTGTTCACAAATGGAAGAAAAATTTGAAAGCATATGGGTTATGATTACTTTTCTACTTTAAAAAATAATTACTTGTGAGTCTAAACTTTTCTGCTTTGATTACAGACAAAATACAGAAAAGTGTTGTCTGGGCCTGGCTCCTAAATGTTAAATACAATCTGTGTTGTATATGCTGAATTAAAATCAATATCTATTAATAACATTAAGATGATAAAAGAAATGTACTAATGAATTTTCTAAATTGCTATTTGGTGTGACACAGTGTTTGACCTTTAGCTGTCACGCATGCATACACATCCATGACTGAGGGTGCAAACAACCTGTGCTAGCTTTTACACTTAGAAATTATTATTGTCTCCCTTCGTCTACTTACACCGTAGTAACAGAAACCCAACAACTATAGAGGGATATCCAGAAAAACCCAGAACAGTGTTTTCAAATAAGTAGCAGTATTGGTGACTATAAATTTTTTATTTTAGGAAAAGATGATTGAGCCATAAATTGTGGTTGAGAAAGTCATTGGGGAAAAACCTGTCTTTTCTCTGAATGTTTTCATAATAAAATTTCTGTAATTTAAAATGAACTTTTTGTCAAATGAAAATAAGGAAACACTTTCACAGTGACACAACCGTGCTTCACAGCTGGTTTAATGACAAATAAATACTTAACACCTATAAGTATATAGTGTTGATGAAATCTTGACCTATTCCTAAATTTATTAGGTAGAATCCACAATGCTTGAGCAAATTCAGCTGTTTGGCTTCCTAAGGACTATACCTAGGGTTTTACAAATTTTTCTGTTAATTGTGAGCCATGTTAATAAATGAAAAGATATTAGAATAACAAACATCGAAAGAGACTATTTGTCACTGTCACTATAAATCATTTTTCTACACACTTATCAGCTCTCTTTTATGAATAATTTTTTATCATATTGGACAAAAATATGCCTTTAAGATTAATGACAGATTTAGATGAAGTAAAAATAGACCAAAAAAAAATTAAGTCATTAAGGATGAAAAGCTTGAGTACTTGAGTGACTTTTGTTGCATATCAATTTCCGTTTGAATGACAGATGCTCACCTGACGGCTGTGATCTGGTCCTCAACTTCATAAACACCCAGCTTTCGATATACTGCATACAGGTGTTTGTCCCCTTGGAAAGCTGTTCCTCGCCCATCCACCAAGGCAATGACTATCCCTTCCTTGCTCGCGAGATAAGATATCCAACTAATAGCAAATACAGACCTTACACTCTGACTGCAGGGACCACCATACCTAAAGGAAAGAAAAACACAGAATCTCTGATTCCTTTGTAAAACTCAACTCCCATGATGGCCAAGAATTGCCTTAAGTGTTCGTCAGTACATTTGTATGATAAAATTTCAATAACAGTGGCATTAGAACTGGCTCAGAACCAAGAGAGGACCAGGCTTTTCCCAGAGGTTTGCTATAAGGAAGTTGTTTTGGGACACAGCCTCTCCTATTCCCCAAAACGGATACATCTAGGGTTGGCATTTCAAGGAATATGTGTGGGTTTTTCGTCATTTCTGCCACCTGCCACTTGCTAAAAGCAGACATAAGATATACTAAAAAAAATGCATGGTGTTTTAAGCAAATTGTGTGTAGGTCAGCACTGATTTTGGGTGTGATTCCACTAAATGTATTCCATTCCCTTATTTCATTTCTAACTCAATTACATAAGATGCTAAGATGATTTACAATCTATTTTTTTTTGGCTGCAATTTATCTCAAAGGTATTCTGACACATTCGGCAATTTGCCATACAAAGGAAATTCAACACAGCAAATGCAAGCAAGTCCATCTAAAATCTCAAAACTTCCTCTATTTAAATAGCCATATTTTATTTACTCCTATTAGTGGAGGAATATATGAAAACAGCATCAATAGGAAATGTTACTAAAGAGAGTGGTTCATTCTATCTCATAAATGTGTATTTAATCCAACATATTTTCAGTAAATAATTTTTACACTGAAGAAAATATTACATACACTTGAATTAGCAAGGGATACTTCTTTGATCTGTCAAACTGAGGTGGAAGAATCATCTTGTACCATAAAGCTTAGAAGAAGAAAAAAAAGAAGAAAAATCTTTATTCTACTATACTCACAGAATTATTTATTTTCTTTAATAACATATATAACATAAAATAAATTTGTCACTAGTAAATTATTAAGAATCAAAAATATGTTTTAAATTGATTTTTTACATGTTTTTGTTTAATTTATAAATTATGAGAAATCTTGAATTATTGTTTTTCTAACACACATTCTAAAATTAAGTAAGCTCTTCTTTAAAAAAAACACACCTGTCTTGAAGTAGAGCTATAGAAAAGTATAAGATCAATTCTATTCCCAAACATATTAAAGATATTTCATGAAACTGTAACTACTGTTACAATAAGATTGTTTTAAGACCCTGTAATATTGTAATATCTGCACTATAGTACTTACCCTATCATTTTTTTAAAGCAAGACAAGTACTCAACTTCATATCTATAAATGAAAAGTTTTTAAAAGAGCTTACTAATTTCATCCACTTCAAGTTTCTTTATTTCCTCTTTAGGCAGCTGGATATTTTTCAAAGCATTTTCCAATTCCTTGTTTTCTTCCAGGATTTTAATTTCTTTAAAAAAAAAAAAAAAAGCCCATCTTTAATTAGTAGCATTTCTTTAGGAAAATTTCTTTCTAAAAATGCCTTTGGGTTTAATATAGATGAAACTGAAACTATATAAGGATTGCTTGAGGAGCCTCACGTCGGCAAGCATATTTTTAATCCAGCCCCTAAAGCAGGTATGAGGTTACTCAGAACAGCGATCATTATCACCTAACCGGATTCTTACAGGATCAAAAGGCATTTTGAGCAGAATCACAGAAGCAAGGATGTTTATTAAGCCCTATTTTCCCATCTCCAACTTTTCTTTTTTAACGTGAAGTTATGGCCTCAGTTGGTGACAGTTATTTTATCATTCAATAAAAAAAGTAGAAGTAAACCCTATATTTCTGAAACCTCAAATTGACAATTGTTTAAGTAGTTATAAAAGTTGTTTTAAAATTTTTAGAATTCAAATATACTTTAAAAATATATATATTTCTTAACCCTTTCCTGCTGTAAACTTGATTGATATAGGATATTCTTTTTTTTTGGTATTGAATCTAATTTCTTCAAATTCTTTCTCTCATAGTGGTTACATATTTTACTAAAACAATAATACAGTGATCTCTTTCTGTCTTTCACCTTAAAAGATCCTCTAAAAAACAGCTGTTTATATTTGAGTTCAGTTATGCTTCACACTTTAATCTTTGAAACTGAACAAATCCATTTACTCCCTGATGCTGTAGATTGTGTTTCCAGCAACAGAGGGCTGTTTGTAAGCTTTATTTTAAACTGGAATTGATATCAGGCATCATCTAGAGAAAAATTAGACCTTCATAGAATGCGTATAGTTTGTAGCTTTATTTTTTAAAAGAGGGTCTGAAGGATTTCTGGAATATAGAGGTTTCTACGTAAGACATCCTGTGAACTTCTTGTTTTTGTGCCTTTTTAAAAAGTGGTCCTTGAAGATGGGGAACTGGAGCAGGAGTACTTGGAGCTACACTAAGTTTGCCAAACCACTTCCCTTGTAACTCTCAGTTTTCATATATTCGTGGCATTTTGCTCCAACATGTTATATTTAATCTTAGAACAATTATAGATGTTTTTGGTATAAGTTGTATAAGATACATAACAAATTTCATTTTAACTTTGGATAATCCATCAGGAAAGAAATACTTATGTCATCTTAAAAGTTAAAACCAGCCCTGGCTAGTGTTGCCCAATGGCCGAGCATAGGCCTGAGCACTGAAGGGTCTCAGGTTCGAGTCCTGGTCAAGGGCACGTACCTGGGTTGCCGGTTCAATCCCCAGCCCCCGTAGGGGAAGGTGCGGGAGGCAACCAATCAATGTGTCTCTCTCACATTAATGTTTCTCTCTCTCTCAAAATTTCAGTGAAAACACATATCCTCAGGTGAAGATTTTTTTAAAAAGTTAAAACTAAATAAATAAATGGAGTACACAGTTCCGAGTACAATGAAGCCTGCTCTTCATTCTCCCTGTGTGGGTTTTATATGTTGAGCTGTTATGAATACAGGGAATCCTGTGTGGAGCAAGCACACAGTGTGACTACATTATTTATTCATTGATTACTATTATTATCATTTTTCCAGCACTGGATATTGAAGGCAATAAGCAGGTTTTTCCAGGTTGGTTTGACTTTGATTTTTTTTCTCCATTCTGTTCCTAGCTATTGAACGTTTCTGGTTCATGACTTACTGAAATGCCACATTTAATTTAAAAGTTTACTAATCTTTGTACAGTCCAAGGTTGCATTTTTACTAATAAAAGGGTACTCTTTTCACCCCTTGGAACAAAATAAAATTTCATAGGCTGTGAGGAGAGGAGGGGTGGCAATTGGGCTTCTCTATGTGGCTTTGCATTAAAAGCCTATAATCTGGCAAAGGAGTGCCATAGCCCAGACTGCACCTTTTTAGCTTGTTTCACTCATTGTATACTCAGTACCCAGCATACTTACTACCTCTTGCCTGACATGCAATATGTCTTCTCTACATAGTTGTAGACTTTTTGTTATGATAAAATTAAGTGGTAAGAATGCTAGATCATGTATGAGATTTTTGTTTAAATCGTATTAACTACCATTTATTCCCCATTAATTAAATTATGTGAGGAATCTGTTTAAAAAGCTGATAAATGAGGTCATTCTATCAGTTGGGTAATTTTAATGAGCACCTGCTGTGCCTGAAGCAACTAATCCTCAACAGTACCCTCGGTGTCAAGTGCCAACTCTTGTGAGTTTCTATAGCATCTGGTTCAAGTACTATCTGCTGTTTTCAAATGACCTTACCCATTTCTCAGAGAAAATGAAGCTGTTGTACTGTTTACTGCAATGCCCTCAAACTTTCATACAATTGCATCCATAATTCTTCATTTTTTCTCATCACAAGGCCAGAGATTAATCCCCCCGCCTGTCTCTGGACTCCGTCTCTTCCCAACTTCTCAGGGACCTCCCTCTTTTATGTCTTCTACCCTTCTTGATCTCCTAATTTCTTCCATCAGCGTTAAACCATTCTCAAATGTTCACCATCTTTGAAAAACAAAATTAAACGTCTACCAATCCCTTCCCTATTGAAAATACTGTCTCTTCTTATTTACCACCTCTGCAGGCCTAAATTTACTTCAGTCTGGCTTCCACTTCCCTTGTTTCACTGAGATGGCTCTGATCAAGCTAATGCTAATCTCCTTCTTGCTAAATTCCTGGATTTAAAGCAGGCCTCTCCTCACTCTCTGTAGCACTGGACACAGGTCCTCTCCTGCCCTGCCCTGCCCTGCCCTGCATGATGAAATCCTCTCAAGGTTGTCCTCCCCCTTCTGTTCCCTCTTGGTCTTCTTTACAGATTCATTTTTTCTCTTTCCATTCCTCGTGCTGGTGTTCCACAGAGTTTTAGCCTGGGCTCGCTCTCCACCCTCATTTTCCCCGCTCTGCTGTCCAACCCCATTCATGGCCGTAGTAACCATGTCATTAATGTTCATAAATGAATGACTTGATTATTACCTTCAGTCCAAACCAATCTCCCAACATCCAGATCCAAAACTACCCAGGACAGCTCCACTTGGATATCCCATCAGTACCTCAAACTCAACGTTCAAAACAAAATTTGTCCTCTCACCCAAAATGTTCTCTCCACTGTGAATCCCCCTTTTCAGGAAACAACATCAACATCGTTCCACTGACCAAGCCAGATGTCCAAGCAGCATCAGTCTTTCCATCATATTTATAAGCCACGAGTTTGATGCAGCTATCATTAAGAAACATTTCCTAACCCGAAACCCAGGTGAGCTGCCCTGCTTATGTGCTTGCTGGGCTCTCTCTGTTTCCCCTGTATTAACACTGTACCCCACTGTATTGTAACTGTCTATTCACACATTTGCTTTCCCCCTTTCATCTATAATCTCCTTGAGGACAGAGACCATATCTGACCCAGTATCAGTTCATTTTTAGGATCCATTATCCAGCACAGCATCTGATTTAATGTGAGAGGTGCTTAATAAGGATCTGTGGAATAAAGATTTCTGGCACCAAATGCAGTGGAAAATGGATGAAAAAACTACAAATAAAAAGAAGAGAAAGCATCTGCTGTAAAATGCAACTCCAAAATTTGTATAGGAATTTATTAAAAATACAGATTGCCTAACCTAACCCAGGATCTATTGAATTGAATTTTCTGGGAAGAGCCTCAGAGTGTTTATAATAAACATCTCTGGAGAATTTCATCATTAGACAAGTTTTCAGAACTATGCTCTAAAATATTCCCATTCTATTTTGCAAGTTAGAAAACATATAAATACATATTATATATATTTGTAAGTATTAGGTAAAGTAATAAAGCTTTGTAATCCCTACTTCAGTAATCAGTGTCTGGGAAAAGGGAAGCTGACCTTGACTTTTCAGTTATGGAAAAATGGAAATTATACATTTCATAGTGATTCCCATTAAAACAAAAAGTTACAGATTTGAAAGTAGAACTGCTGTAAGTCCTAAAGATTGAAATGAGCCAAACTGAGAAATACAATCAGTTATTATCAAAAGTATTTCATTATTAGACCCAAAGTAAAACAAAACAAAATGAAACAAACAAACAAACAAACAAAAAAACCCTTTCAAAATGAAACCAAATTCACAGTCCCATTATTACAATGCCTGTTCTACCCAGAGGTGCTGAATCGATTCTGTTTTCCTCATTGCCTTATTTTCATCTATCCTTGAGCCATTGAACTGGCTGCCAAACTAATCCCAAAGCAGCCTCCTGACTTGTCACCGAAGCTGCCCAGGGATGATTGCAGGTGCTGAAGTCCCTCATTGTCTCTAGTCACCATCAGCTTCAACATCAAAGATCTAGAGAACCCCAGGAAGAGTTTCAAGGCAATTATACACTTGGACAACTCTGTTGAGAACAAGAAGGGTTATCTGTAATTTGTGAACTATTCTGAACCAATATCACAAATATAGAATGGATGTGGACTATCTTGGTAGCAGCTGAAAATGGAAAGCGCCTCCAAATTTGGGGGCTTTCATACGTGGCGACAGTGTGACATAGCTGTTAAAACAAAAAAGCTAGCGTGATAGTCACCCTCTGCTTTGAACTCAAGTTATATCTGGAACTTTTCTCCAGTTTGAGACATTACAAAAAAAAAACAGGAATTCTTATTTGGGAGTGAGGTTGTACTAAATATCCTCAATTTCCTTCCAATTCTAAGCTTCCGTGCTTTTTATAAAGCTGATTGGGGAAGACAGAATTAATCCTTCTGATCTAATTCATCTGTGTTATGCCAGGTTCTTCCTGCAGATAATTATTAAATTTCATATGATCTGGTTTGACTCAAAGAATATCCAGCTCCGTGTGATAATAAGCTAGGTGATAACAGGATTCCATCTCACGCCCCCTTGTTGGTGGGGAGAAACTCCCTTGCTTCCTGAAGTGTGGTGTCACTGAGACTTCAGGCTGTCTGCAGACAGGATAGCAGCACATGAGAGAGTACCTTGATCGGTGCGGCCATCGTGAAGGGTGGAAATCGGGAGGCCGGGGCCTGTGCACAAAAGTGAACAAGACATGACTTAGTTTTAAAATAACACTTAGTTTTCAATGGGAACTGCTAGTAGTATTTGTGATTAATATCAGGCTCAAGTACATCTTTTAATTCTACAGCAATTTTTCCGCCATAGAGAAGTAAACATCACCTTTTAAGTTACATTGAAACAACGCATGAGATCAAAACCCACTCAAAGAACAGATGTGAGGGAAGAGCTGCTGGTGCACTTTTCCAACAGTGATGCTGAATAGTTCGGATCTAACTACACAGATGGACCCCAGAAGTAGCAGTGATACATGGCCTTCTGGGAAGATGTCATGCTGTATGGGCGTTTTAGCTGTGTCTTTATTATCAAGTAACCTTCACCAATATCCAGACTATATTTTCAATCTGGCTTCTTGGTTCAGTTTATTTGGTGGGTAGAATCCAGCATCTTTTTTTTAAAAGTAATTAATACAGGAAGAAATTAATTTATATAGATTATGTTGCCTATTCAAATATGCTGTGGAGGGTCACATTCCCTAGGAAACAGACCCAGAAGGAGTTTTGGGGGCCAGGCGTTTATATGGGGGTGGCGGTGGTGGTATTAGAATACACACCTGATGAGAGGGGAGGCAAGCTGGGGCAGCAAGGGAAGGTGGGCTTTAGTGCAGTCACAGTGGAGACCTCAGCCGACCCCCAGAGAGCTCTGGAGCTGGATGTCCTGCAGAGTTGTCCGGAATGGGGCCAATGGGGCTGGATTTTATCCCGAATAATGGAGCAGTCATTGGATGTAGCCTGGGTTGAGAGCAACCCCCGGGGGATGAGAAGGAGGGCTTGGCTGTGAGCTGTCAGCCACCAGCACTCTCAGCAGCTAAAGAAATGAGTGAATCAGTCGTGAAGTTGGGAGGTCTGGGTGGCACACCAGTGTCCACTGTATATTCCAACATGGAATTCAGGTTTTCTGCGTAGAAACTAGCCATTTCAAGAAGATCTACAAATCCTTACACAGTGTCTATCACTGACTTGAGCTATAGAATAAAATAATACCCGGAAATATACTTTTAAGGGGTGAACTTGCTCAGGCAGCTGATGGGTTAAGAGCAGTACACCTGGGGCTAGGAGTGGCGGCCCACGCGCCCTCCTCAGAAGCTCGCCTCCTTTGATGTGGAAGGAGGATCATTAGAGCAGCACTCTTGGTCCCAAACAAGCAGAGGGAAGTGACCTATTTGGTGAGGCCCATGAAGACAGGGCATAAGTAACGCCTTGTCCTGCCTTGTTCCTGGCATTTTGCCGCCTGCAGAAACCCGCTTTTGCTCTGATCCTCCGTGCTCCAAGCATGGCCATGCCAGGCGCCGTGGCGGAAGCCTGTGGCATCCAGTTGTACTCACATTTATGCGAGTAGCTGTAACTCTGGGCTGCAATGTTAGGAAGCGGCACACCTTAGCCACATTTTCCAACCAACCTTGGTAATGAAGCTAATATTTTTATTTCCTTGTCTAAGTTGGTAGTAAGGAGAAGGGATATTATTTATTCGAATCCTTCAAAATCCAGCAGTTCTTTACTGTGTGGCGTCTCAGAGTTTTATAGAATTTCATTTCAGAGGCTTTCATTTTGTTCTGCTCTCCTTCCAAGTTATTAAAAGGAACAGGCACACATTATATTTTTGGTCAGGATGTAAGGAAATGAGACATAAATCTGGATTTCTTGACTTTAGTCAATCAGTATCCGCTCTATGGAATTTTCATGGGTATGCAGTTCCAGAAGCGACAACTGGCACATCTTTTTTGGCCCAAAGTACAAGACAAACTAATGACTGACTGCCTGTGACACAAGTGGCCCGAGGGTGTGATCTTAGTGGCAGAAACATCAGAAGTCTAGAATTCCTCCTTTGCATTGCTTTTGTTCCATCAGCCTGATAATCGTGATTTCACCTATTTTAATCCTAATATGTGGAATTTACTCACCGTCGCTCTTGGAGAGTTTGAAGTTACATAATGAGGCTTTACTCTTAATCCTAAAGGGAAAGATTTCAAGGTTTTTCTTATGATGGTGCGGTGACTCATTTTACTGGAGCTTCAAAAACACCAGACGATGTGATGCTTCCCACACAGTATATTTTTTGCTAAATGGGAAATTACCATACTGCCGAGCAAGAGTGAGTGTGGAAAAGTCAGGCAATTCAAGTTCTAGAAAGGACTCTTCCACCAACTTTTGATGAGAGCTTAGTCTTTGTGCCCTTATCTCTTCAGGGGGCACTCAGGCTTGAGCAAATATTAAGGAGACAAAGTGATATAAAAAGTGGTGTAGTGCTTTCAAAAAGGCTTAAAGCACTGCACAAATGCAGGATGCATATAAATATAAATGTAAGTATATATACGCCACTGATATCTTTATCAGTAAATATATCTGCATAAGAATGAGTTTTTTGGTGGACTTTGCAAAAGACAGCAATGCTTTGATCTTTCTAACACTTATGTTCATTCAGCAAGCATGCAATGTCTATTATGCAGTAGCCATTCTTCTTGGCCTTATGATGATAAAGGTTTAAAGAAAGCAGCCTCTGCCTTCAGGGAAGATAGACAACTCAGCACAGTTAGTTCAATGATACTACATGCCTGGTATGTAAGCTTTCAATATACGCTGCATAAATACATAGTTTGAATTGAAAATGCTGCATGTAACTTGAGAGAACATTTAATGTATACCTTAAAATGCCATAATCACACATATGGTCATGAGCAACGATCTCTTAACTTTTCAAAGATGTCATTGACCAAACATTGTATGAAGGTGTTGTATCAAACTGACTTATTGAGAGAGCATTTGGGTTAAATTCTTAGTCATTTCCATGCAGTAAAATGAGCTGGGGCGCATGTTCTGGGGACAGGTGGTTAGGGTTAGACAAGTGGCATGTCAGGTGCCTTCCTTCTGGGAACTAAAGGGAACCTCAGGGTCCTCGGCAACTAGTCAAGGATCTCAACCAGTCAAAGATTCCATTTGTTCTCTTAGCCGCCCACCCCTACATGGGGAGTTGAAACCAGAAACAGGGTAGTGGCAGGCATTTTGTAATAACCTCCTTTCTTTTCTGTGCCCCAGCGAACTCAGGGATTAACTGGGAAACAGGACAGAAAATGAAGGAGTAGATATTTCCCAAGTCTGTTTTCTAAATCCCCAGGACCCCAGCATAGTTCATTAACCTACTCATCGCCTAACCTAACCTATTTTATTGCTTGTCCATGTTCAAGATATAAATAAAATTTTATGCATAAAATTGAAATTATTTGGATAGAAATCATTCACTAAATGTACACATAGCCTAAGAAAGCCAGAAATACTTAATTTATTAACTATGATTTTTAAAATATTTGAATGATTACTTATTATGTTTCCCAAATTTAGAAAAGTCATGCTAGGTGACAAAAGTTCATTTTCCATCCCCATTGAAACTACATTTTAAAGAATTACTGGCCTCTCAAGGAAAAGCTCTCCTAGGCCATCGTTCTTTCCCTGGACTGTAAGAGTTTGACATTTCTCTAGGCAAATGGATGAAGTCCAGCAGCCATTTAACCAGAGAACACTTCCTCTTACAATATTATTCAAATCCTGCTTAATAATCTGTAGCTAAGGATTGATTAGGTGGTGGTGACAAGGGTGATGACAGTGGCTATGAAGTGGTAAAACTTGTGTTCAGTCCATTACCTACCATAGCAGACAAGTGCATAGTACTTGGAGTAGTCACTGAAACTTGCTGTGTAATATTGGCACCTTTCTTGCCTTAGATGGCAAGTAATGCACTTCTTGCTTGGAGGATAGTTTCCAATGCTAATTCTAGAGGAAAATAAAAATAAGTTCACATTTTAAGATTGAATTTATCAAAATATACTACTCCCTATAAAATGGCTAATTAATATATTGACATCAAACCCACTCTATTTTTCTGGTGTCAATGTCACTGAAAGTAAGAGGGGATCTTAGCATTTTTATGTAGCCTGATTTTCAATTGTTGCCTGAATTGGCACCAGGCTTGAAAGGGAAGCCTTCTGTGATTTTCCTGGGGTGGGAGAAATATCTAACACCACGGATGGGCATGAGGTAATCACTCTCACAGCCACTCATCTCTGACACTTTACAAAGTGGTTGGGAATGCGTAGCTCTTCATCTTCCCTCCTCTTTTTTTGTATTCCCACCAGTAAAACACACAAGGGGAATCTGGCAGTCTCACCAAGAAAGGGACCCCTGTTCTTATGATGTGACTGAAAGGAGAAACAAGAAACCACAATTTATGTTCCTTCTGTGCCTTTCATTCCACCAGGCAGGCAATTTGGGCTCTTCCCTGGAATGTTCACTCAGCACATTTCTACACAAGCCAACCTGCACCTACCATGCTGGGCCCCTCTCTCCTCAGCAGAGCCCTCTGCGTGGTTCCTGAGTGGGGTCATTGACTTAAACACACATACTCCCGGGCCATGTCAGAATTAGAATCTTTTCTAATTTGGGACAGATATGCCAGGATGGGGGCAGGGCCAGAAGCACAGCATGGACGGTACGATTTCCTGTGGCCTGGGCATGTGCCTTGTGCTGCTGACCTTGACTTTGCTAGAGGGGGGCCAGAGACATTGCTAGATCCATGGAGGGATTCTCCCCAACAGATAAGGAGCCAAGATCCACGGGGATCGGAGTGAAAATGCCTTATTTCCTCGGTTGGGTAATAGTCATGTTCGTATTTTGATGTGATCTTGGAAATGTTAGGTAGCCATTAGCAGTAAGGGTGCAGGGCAGCATGCCCAGGTACGGATCCTGGCTCCAGCAATATCACCTGCCTCAGAGTTGTTGTGGGAATTAAATAAAATCAATATATAAAGCAGTTGAAAAGGTAGCTGGCAAATTGTAGACTACCAGCCCACAGTAACTATTGTTATTTCCACATCTATAGAGGCTGTTGAGGGCACCATTTCAATCACCAAGGGGACCAGAGATGAATTCCTTCCAATCATATAATACGCTATGCCAAAGTGAATGATGTTAAAAGAAATCACACATCACGTGAATAAATGGAATAGGTATATGCAATAAATGTGTGTAAGTGAATAAATGTCCTCAATTTCCTGTAAAATTAGTTAAATTATTTAGCATTATGCTTATATCTGCATTAAAAACTTGGTTTTTCTTTTTGAAAACAAACATTTGAGTTTGCTAATATTTGCGGGGCATATAACTTTATACTGATGTAGTGTAAAACGTTCTCTGAATGTTTTATATTAATTCATAAATTATTCCTATTACATTTAAACCTTTTAAAAATATCCTATATATCCTGAGAACTATGACAGATTTTTATTCAAATATCAATATATAAAAATACTAAAGTGCATTGACATAAATTACCTGTAGATATTTCTTCTTCCAGGATAACCTTCAAATTCATTGCTAGAGTAAAACCTGAAAACATATTCAGAATTAGTAAATAAGTATCAATAACTTAATAGTGAGAAGGTTGTTAGTACTAATACTGATGTATCAAACAATGAAGTCCAATTTTCATCTAAGCTATTCTATTAATAAATAATAAATGAACTATTGATTTATAGACTAATAATAAAGTATTAATAAATAGTTCATGAAACTATTTATTGATTTGTATTTATATACATAATTCTCTACTGTTTATAACTGAATTTTGTATGCTTTTTTCAGACCTTAGAGGATTAAATTATGCAGAGTACTCTTTTTTATTATAGGTATATTATATTCTGATTCATTAGCTATGAGCCACAAAAAATAAACTAAGAGATTTGATTACTGCCACCCACTTCTTTTTCCTTTGTTAACAGTTTAGTGGTTTCTCTATGCCATATTATTTTATTTTGTCTATGATTCTAAACATATTTGGATTTATTTTATAGACACCCTGACAAAAGATGAGTTTGCTATAAATCAAGAAACTCATCCAAACTGGGATTCCACACAAAGGAGCATGTTAATTTACCCAGATGCAAAACTAGTCACAAGAAAACATACTTGTTACTTTAGGGCCTGGGTCCCAGTTCTAACCTGTCTTAATATAGCCATGAGGTGGAAAATCCTATTTAGCAGCATGACTTCCACTCTTCTGCGAATTCATCTGAATATTACAAAGTAACTGCTCTTTTTTGTTTGTTTGTTTGTTTGTTTGTAAGAACATAATAAGGTGTGACAAGTTTGGAATAACCAAGGTTTGGTACCAATTTTTAATTCTCAGGACTATTCACCAGCCCAGGTACTTCTCTGTCTTCGTTCTCACAAGTCTTGCTGTTCCCAAATAACAGGAAAAGGCAAGAGAAGACAACTCACTCCCAGTGTTAAATTTATCTCCTAAACCAGCATCCTTCCACATGTCTTTACTAACTTCACACGACTCCAGTCATCACTTGCACTTGCCTTTCCCACATCATCTCAAATTATTTGTGAATAAAGTACTCAGTATCTTTTCCAAACAGCCCCCTGCAGTTTTCTTATGTCAAAGGTTTCACAACTGTCTTCGTCTCTAACACTTGCAACAGCATCCACTTGCCTCTTTTCTTCCCCTTCTCCCTCCCAGCCCCTAACTCACCAGGCCTGTTCAACCTCCATCTGTCTGTACTGTCTATCTACCCTTCCCCTCACTCATTTATCAAATATTCGCTGAACTCTGGCTCTGTGTCAGGCACTATGCCAAGTGCCAAGGATGCAGGGAAAAAAAGAGGCATAGTTTTCTCCTCAAAGAGCCCGTATCTTACTGCCGCTAGGCTAGTTCAGGTCTCCGTCACCTTAGTCCTAGATTATGTCCACAGCCTGCTCTTCCTGCCTTCAGTTTTCCCCGACCTCCTAAGCATATTACTTAGAAATCGCCCATCCGTTTTCATCTTGTCACTCCTCTTACACTGGTGATCTTGATGGCTGCTCCATATAATGTCTAAACTCCTTACTGACCGCTCAAAGAATTTCACAGATTGGCAATAGTTTCTGAGAGATTTTAGCCGTGAGCCTGAACTAATGATCTCCCTCTTTTGCTCCTAGAATTCCAGTTAATGGCAGGCAGGTTATAAGAGAGCACCCTGAATTTGGACTTTATGAGTGAGGGAAAGGAGCTATACATTCTTGATTAGAGAGGTGTGACCACAAATGATTATTTTTAAAGTGGTTTATTTAGACTGTATGCGGGATGGACTGAAAAGGAAAGAAATGAAAGGAAGAAGTCCCATGTTGAGGTTAACAGTAAGAATGTTAGATTTAATGTGCTCTAAGATTGAATCCTAGCTCTGCCACTAACTGCGGCCTTGGCCAAGTTAAGTTTCCTAGTATCAGTTTTCTTATCTGTAAAACTGGGATAATCATTTCTACTTTCCAGCATGTGGTACACAGTAATTGCTCCATAAGTAATAGGTGTTACAGGTAATAACAAATTTATATTGCAGTGAATCACTACAAAAAATTTTTTACATCTATGGGCTGCCCTCAGTGGACTTTTCAACCTTGCACATTGCTTCAAGTGCTGAAGAGTAAAATCTATCTTTAGAACCAGTTACTACTTTTTAAATTTATATTTTTTATATAGTTATCTATCAAGTATTAGAAGAGAAATAACCACCTATTTTATATCTTTTCCTAAAGAAAATTGTGTTGACTAGTTATTAAAGAATGTGCATTCTTAAGAAAACCACAACTGTCTGAACTAAACTATGGAATAAGTAATGAAAATGCTCTTAACTGAAGGAGGTGGTACAGGATCGCTTGTCCATCCATCGCTTAATTAAACCCTGATTGGGGCAACATGCTTCATGCAATACTCACAGTGAATCCCGTGTTACTCTGAATATATTTATGGCTTCCCACTTGCCACTTGTAATTTGAATAGCATTTTCCTATAAAAAGACAAACATTATGTTGTGTGAAGCTGAACGTTACTTGAGCAACCTCAAGTGAATGATCTTTGAGGAGGTAAATCTTGGGAGGAACATACCACAGTGTCTTTGACGTAGTGAATATGTTTGTAGCCATCCTTGTCACTAAATATTTTGTAGTATGAAGTGGAATCAGAGCTGAAAACTGGTGCTGAAACAAAAAACTGGAAAACACACACAAGAGGTTATGTTCAAAAGAAAAACCAAACTAAAACTATAGATTTTTTGAAAGAAATGTATATAGGAACCAGAATGCCTTCCCTTCCCTACCTTCTGTTACATCTGGAGTTCCAGTTTCTCAGGTAGACAATTTTTCTAGTGATTCTAAGTCACTTGCACATTCCAACTACTGTTTAATTGCTACTACATACCCCTGAGTTTAAAATGTTTAACTTAATTGAATTTGTGTGTTCTGAGATTATGTGCTTTGAAATAGAGTTGGAAGAATCACACATGAATGTTGATATTTAACTACCTCAATCTTCAAAATTTGGTATTTGACCAAAATGTGACTCTTATGAAGACTGATGGCCTTGGTGGAGGGGGTTGATGGGGGGAAAAAAGAGAGGACATTTGTAATACTTTCAACAATAAAGATAAATAAATTTTAAAAAGACTGATGGCCTTTTAAATTCTTGATTTGTATGATGCCAAGTACCTAATGCCAATGATTCAATGAAGACATTTGAAAGATTAAAATATCACGGCCTGCTAGCCACGGTTTTAGGGAGAAACTTCTGGACTTGAGAGAAAAATGTTACCCAGGACAAGCAAGTGAGGGGTTTAGTCCCTGAACTCAGGGAGCAGTGCAGAACTCATTAGCATCCCTGACTTCTTCCCAGGGACCCTGCTGGGCATCTGCTGAGTAACTCCTTAATGACCTAAGGAGTACCTGAGACTCAGCTCTGGTGTGTCCTGGCGCAGAGCCAGCCACAAGTCAACATCCTGAATGGTACAGATAACTAAAATCCTGCCAATGTCCTCACACCCAATTTTAGCTGGTAATTTCTCCCATTAAAAATATGGACTCATCTTACATTTGTTGGCATATTTACAATCCTGGTCAGCAGGTTTTGAAGGGCAGTAAAGTGATGAAAGACCTACATGAGGAAGGAGCTGCTCTGCAGTCACTCAGAGTAGATATTCTCACAGATAATCCAAATCCAGTTCTCTCTACCCTAGTGCTTCCACATGGCAGTGAACCACGCTGTTCAGCTCCTGTAGAACTGACCAAGCAACAACAACCAAAAGACGTCCAGTATCTTTTAGCTACAAATACCTATCCTGCTGTCACCCAGGCTGAGATTCCCTTTTGAGCAAGAAGAGCATGGAGAAAGTGGATGTTTGCTTCTTTAGTGATGGCCCATGTGTGATCTGATACTTGATCCTTTTTGATAAAATTTATTATGATTGTGTGATTTTAAAATGCAGTTGATTTGATGTGGTGTCTGTAGTGTTCTGAATAGTGTTCCCTAAAATTCACTTCCATCCAGAACCTCAGAAGGAGACCATTATGGACTGAATGTGTTTCCCTCAAATTCATATATTGAAATCCTACCCCACAATAAGATAGTATTAGGAGGTAAGTAGGGTTAGATGAGGTCATCAGGTTGGAGCCCCCATGAATGAGATTAGTGCCCTTACATAAATCACCAGAGTGCTTGCTTCTGCTGCTCTGCTCTCTGCCACGTTAGGATACAAGAATTTGGCAGTCTGCAACTGGAAGAGACCTTCCACCAGAATGTGACTATGCTGGACCCTGATCTCAGATTTCCAGTTTCCACAACTCTGAGAAATACATTTCTGTGCTTTATAAGCCACAGTCTATTGTACTTTGTTAAACAGTCCAAACAGACTAAAACAATGACACTATTTTAAAATAGAGTCTTTACAGATGGAATCAAGGTAGGAATCAAGATGTGATGACGCTGGATTAGGGTAGGCCTTAAACCCAATGACTGAAGTCCTCCTAAGAAAAGAAGAGGAAACTAAGAGATACAGAGAGATATGGAGATACAGGGATTGGAATGATGTAGCTGCAGCTCAGCAAGTTCATGGGTTGCCAGCAGCCACCAGAATCCGGAAGAGGCAAGGAAGGATACTTTTCTGGAACTTTCAGGGAGAACATGGCTTCACTGACACCTTGACTTTGGACTTCCAGCCTCCAGAATTGTGAGAGAATGAATTTCTGTTGTTTTAAGCCACCAAGTTTGTGGTAATTTGTTATAACAGCTCCAGAAAACTAATACAATGTCCTAAGTCTTATCACTTTGGCATAGAAATGATAAATCTCTAACAAAATGAAAAATGCATGGTCCCTTTATTAGTTTTATTAGCAAGACCAGCCGTGGTAGGGTTTTGTGCATTGAGACTAGTGCCTCTTAGTGAAATTGAGAGCCAAGAGTCCCAAGAATAGACAATTCTAACTTGCAACTTTGTGGATGGAATTTCATTAGTGTATGTCTGACAAAAATCACTCTTTTATTTTAGAAAAAAGTTATGCCTTGTTAGCAATGATATACTTACTTAGTAGTAACCATTTTACAATGCCTCCCTCTCACTCCACAAGGTAAAAGTCAGAAGCTGGCTCTACGTTGTCTTAACTGCTAAAGTGGAACCGGGGTCACAAAATATTTTAAGGTGCTAGAGTAAAAAAATATTCTCCTCACATCTGCAGTTAGTTGGAGAACTTGAAGAAAAGGTGTGTTTTAGATTAAAAGTTAAACTTTCATTTTTGTTGAAAATTAAAAAAAAATAGGGTAGAGTGTTATGTTCTAAGATACTAGAATGAGACAAACAGGAAGAATATTTTTGCTAAGCAAAGACTGTTATCTTCTCTGCTTCACTGCACACGTCAAAGACAGCTGCTTTAGATGAACAGGTAACTTGGGTGCGGTAAAGAGAGTGTGAAATATGTCATTCACTTTGCCAGGGCTAGGTCCATAATTCGTTCTCACTTAAGTGCTTCTGGCAACAAATCTTGCCTTCACCCTAGATAGCCACACAGAACTAGGCGATTCTCAGTTTTAACTAGGCCTCTTCACAGGTCCCTTTATCTTGCTTGGATTTTCTGATAAATTACTCATCTCTATGTGCAAAGCCATTTAAAATGTTTTACTTGGAAGGTAAGATTATTTACCACCAGATAATTTCTTGCCACGGTTGGCAAATGGCCTGATGTCCTACTTACTAGGGTTGATGCCTAAACTGAGTTCACATTTAGTCAAAGCACAGACTTTCAAGCATCAAGTAGAACATTTATTTTTCCAAATGGAGGGATTTTGTCAACTGCCTAAAGGAGATGTAGTGTATTGCTTAATTATTTTGAAATAATTTAAACGTGGCTTTATAGTCTAAGCATTATGCTTTGTAGTGCTTGTTCTCTAAAGTTTAGTGGTTAAATACCAGATTCTTTTATTAACTCTTCCTTTTTGTCTGCTTTCTACAAATATTTAAGGTAAATTTGTTGTTGTTATTTTTCTGATCAAATACAGAAAAAGTTAGGCTATTTTCCCCAAGTTAAGACACTGACTATTTCACGCTGGAGGAAAGAAAGAGATAGGTAAAGTTCTCAAGAAACTATTTGCTAGTTTTGTGCCTGCAACTAAACAGATCTTTTACTTTTAGCAAGTGATTTAATCTCACTTTTCTAGTTCTAAGGTAATCTCCAAAGGTCTTTTCAGTTTAAATCTCTTTGACCAGCTCTAAAGGAAGAACTGCTCTGAAGTTGCTCTTTAAATTTATACTAACATGACTAGCCTGTACACTTTGTCCACAAACCTCATAAATATTACCTGAACAAATGTCAGAAAGACATATTTCTGGGTGATTTTATCAAGTCACTGGTTTGATTATCAGTCAAAGGAAGCCATAAAGCATACTATGACAAATGAGCTATGACTATATAGAGTTGTGCCCCGATTTTTTCAAAAGAGATGTCTGATTTTATAAAATCTCATGAATGACCTCTTCAAAGCTGTTGCCTTAGGAGAGTGTGGACTTACTCTTGAAAGCTATCATTGCAAAGAATTTCTGACAATTCCTCTTCTGGCATTTATAAAGTTTACTGACTATTGGATACATTTTAAGAGATTGGGATTAGTAAATAAGAAAAATAATGTTTCTCAATAAAATTCTAAAGCTACAGATATTAAAATGATCTAGCACAAAATCATATGTTGCGACAATTTATTTACTCACTAGATTCATTTTGGAATGACTTTGCATTTAATGCATTTAATGACTTTGCATCTTCCCTAAAAGGACACATATGTCCCTCCACTGAGGGTATTTAAAACACTGTTCTACAGCTTTAGAAGTAAATTTTATTTATTTATTTATTTATTTATTTATTTATTTATTTATTTATTTATTCGCCCATTCATCCAGCTGATGTTTGCTGATCTCAAGGTTGGTGCTATACAGATTGTAAAAATTGATAAGATGCAACGGTAGACCTCAATATGCTTATAAATAAGAGATGTCAAAAGATGCACTATAAATGTTTTCAAATGTGTTGAACGCTGGGAGCATTTTCAGAATATATGTGTATGGATTCCTAAAATCATGTCTTTGAGAAGGTTGTTGGTAGCATTGTCTATCCGTCTGTAAAATTACTTCATCCATGCCATTTTATAGTAACCTGAGTTATATTATCGGTATGGAAAACACAACTAAAGGAAGTTTCAAGCCTTCTCCCTGCCCCTCATTCTTTCCTGGAAGCCTTTATAATGGGAGTGAATTCACAGATTAACTTTCCCCTTTCCTCAAACTTTCAAGTGCTGATCTAGGAATTACCTTTCTGGAAGGTGAGCTTCTGATGAACCAAGAATCCACAAAATATAGAAAATCCTTTTCTTTGTTATTTAGGTCAGGGACAAAGTGTAAATTCAAATAGAACTTCCCATTCTTTTTCTTGAATTACATTTATCCTTGTTGCTTTGATATTTTTAGAGTATATTTACATTTACTGTATATAATGAATAAAGTAATAGCTGTTCTTTAGCTAATGAACAGGAGACTGAGTAAACATATGTGAGCTAAAATCATTGGATCCAAAAAAGTGTACAAGAGAGTTTTTAATATCTGAAGATTTTTACTTTATAATTTACTTTCTCCCTACCCATTTTAACTCTGAATTTTTACAAGACTTACCATCTTAGAATTGACTTCTGAGTTATTTATTGTCCTTGTAATATGAGTTAATGTGTTAAACTAAATCATAAAAGTTTCCCCTTTCTTTGAATGTGTCAAAATCTCAGAAAAATAGCCTTTTTAAACCCAAATGCTAGTTGAATTCAATCATATGTTTGTGTTAACTGGCAGCAACCATGCAGCATTCACTTATTCTTATTTTATACTTTTTATATAGGTTGTAAAATACAATTGATATTTCCTAAAACAATTTTTTACACTAAAAATCCCTATAAATCACTGAATAAACCTATCCAAAAAAAATCACAAACCATAGCAAAACCCACATTTCTCTATTTGCTACCACTTTATTTAAAAACTAGAATGAATGTAGGTATATATGTAAATAGGTTCATATACAAATTCATTTATTAATTTTAGTTTATAAAAACATTTAATAAGAGGTAGATTGTCTCTAAATTACAAAGGATACCTCATTTATTTACTTTTTCTGAATTCAAATGACTAATGATTATTAAGACCATTTTAAGCAAATTTTGTTCCCTTTTTAAAAATTTGTTTAAGAAGTAATATTAATTCTGAATATCAGAGACAGTTGAAAAGTTAAGGTTGGAACATGAGGAATATGATTTTTTTTCTCAAAAGAATTCTAAATAGATATTAAAATTGTATAGCCCAGCCCAGCCAGCGTGGCTCAGAGGTTGAGTGTCAACATGTGAACCAGGAGATCACGGTTCGATTCCTGGTAAGGACACATGCCCTGGGTTGCGGGCTTGATCGCCAGTGAGGGGCGTGCAGAAGGGGGCAGATCAATGACTCTCTCATCATTGATGTTTCTATCTTTCTCCCTCTTCCTTCCTCTCTCTGAAATCAATTAAAAAAAAAATTGTCTGGCACACAATTGCTGAAGGGGTCACTATCTTTGTGGTTTTTACCTTGATATTTTTTTCTAGAAATTAAAACAAGTAGGGCCAGTTTGAATACATTTCAAACAGTCCTTTGATAGCTGAGAATCTGTCAACTTTCATGAAAATATAAAGAAAAGATAGCAAAATCATACTCCACCAGCCCATCCAGTTCTGCTTTCTTCTATATGTTCCTGGGTCTAAAAGAAAAAAAGATTATATCAAGTATAGTGTTAGGAAGACAATTTTTTCTAAATATAATCTGGACATTTGAACCAGTTAAGCTGCCTCATCAGAGTGTACTATTGATAGTCAACTAACTTCACACTTGAGTTTAAGATGACTTTATTCAAAATCTTATACAACGATACTCTTGCATGCACATGGATAACTAAAGGCTGCATTTCATTGCAAACATTTCATAATTCTGGTTAAACTTCCTATGACACAGCTACTGGAATTATTACATCAGTGGAGGCCTAGCACAACCCAAGCACTTGGTGTCATATAGGGAAAAAGCATTTCATAGTGGAGTTTAGGTTAAATTTTTCTTTTCTCAGTCTTATGAAGTAGCTAGGAATCTTAAAATTTGCAATGAATCTTATTTTGGTGTGTATTTTAGCATAATACAATCAATCGTTTATTGAACAAATATTTAGTATGCCTAAAAAAATGAATAGGCTTATCTAGACAAATAATTAGAGAAAGAACATTCTAGGTAGAATGAACAGTGTAGAGACCAGGCCAGCTAAGTAAACTAGAGGTGGTTCAGTGTGCTGTGTGAAGGGTGACTAAGGGAAAGAGAAGATGGGGGGGGGGGAACCCAGCAGTATCAGCAAGACCTCTGAGAAACTTTTATGCCACCCTAAGAAATTTAAATTTCTCCTGTCACTAGATCCTTTGAAAGATTTCAAAATCACATTTTGGAAAACATAATTGTGAACATGATACAGAAAACATATTACAAGTGGATAAAATAAAAGGAAGCAGAGAGATTGGTTTGAAGGCTACTGTACTCTTTGGAAAAGAATGGTAAAGACCCAAATCTAGGTAGCAGTAGTGAGGATGGAGCAAAGAAGATGTAGCCAGAGATCTTCAAAGTTCAAATCCTCAGAAAGAACTAACAACCATTTCTTGTTCTTTTTATTATCCTTGCCCGAGGATATGTTTTACTGATGAGAGAGAGGGAGAGGGAGATGTCGATTGGTTCCCTCCCGTGGGAGGCCCCTCTGGGGACTGAACTCACTACCTTTCAGTGCATGGAATGATGATGCTCCAACCAACTGAACCACCTCAGCCGGGGCCATTTCTTTTTTTTTTTTTTTTGCTAGAGCAATAGCAAGACTACATTTCCCAGGCCCCCTTCCAGTTGGATGTGGTCATGTGATAAGTTGTAACCAAAGGTGTAAGAGCAAAAGTGACTCATGCTACTTCTAGGCCGAATCTATAAAAGCCTGTGGTACCTAAAATTGTATTTTTTTCCCCATTAGATGGACATTGATGATCAGGTTTGAATAACCTTGGGCTAGCCTTGGAAGTCACTGGATGAAGATAGCAGAAATGTCATCAAGCCGAGTTCCTTAATGACTGTGTGGAGCAGAGCACCCCATCCTCCATCCCCTACCCAGTCACCACTTATCTAGACTCATTATTGGGTGGGTACATAAATGTGCAAAAGTTTCTACTCTATTAATCCACTGAATTGTTACAAGTATTTTGTTGTTTTTGTTGTTGTTACAATAGCTAGCCTACCTTGCAAATATATTAACTTGGAGAAGATTAAGATTTCTAGAGAAGTCATAAGGAGAGCTGGAAAGGAGAACAGTCAATGAGGTAGAAAAGGGACCATGAGAGAAGTGCTGTCATAAAAAGCTAGGGAGTAATACATTTCAAAACATAGTTTGTATTTTCTCTTATAGGGACAAGCCAGTGCCTCAGAAAGAACAAAACTCAAAAAAAATAGTGAAATATTTTGATTCAAATTCTTTCAAGTTATTATTTCCAGTTTCCTTTTCTTCTTTGTTTTAGGTATGACTTCCAACATGAATAAAATGTTGCCAGGTCACTTAATCTTTAATGTTATTTGTTTTAAACACACACACACACACACACACACACACACACACACACACACACACACAAACACATCAATCATGAGTCTGGTTGCTGGAAAATTTAATACTCTGTTGTTCTTAAATTTTAAAATGTGTTCTTTGTATTTGTCAGATTATTTTGAAAAAAGGATTGTTTTGAAATTCTAAGGTTATTCAGACCTCGTATTATAAATGTAATCAATAGTTTTGGCCATTAACTAAAGTTAATATTTTAGGGAGTTCCACATTTTATTGAACCAGCATCTATATGTTCTGTCTGTTTGGATAAAAGTTGTCTCAGATTTTGGTAAATTAGAACTGTAGATTCCAAAGCAAAAAATGGTATATAAATGACCAATTTTATAGTTTTAAACTAACAAAATTAAGACAATAATTTCTAACACCCAGATTCGATGAAAACATCAGAGCTGACTTATCAGACCAATTGTTTCTAATTAACTCGCACAATCAACTTTATTCTCTTTTTTTGCCTATGACACTGCATTGAGGCCAACATCTTTCTGCTTTGTACATTAAAATATAAATAAGATAAAAATAGGTTTCTAGCATATTCCATCAAAATTAGTCAAGCTTGTTACAGACACAGTAGTGATTTAAAAATATATATTTTTAGCCTGAGTAACTTGACTATTATAGTCCTGATATATTTCCAAACAGATTCACATGACTTTTTCCTTGCAAAACATAATGTCCTAATTTCTAGATAGAATTCAGCGATTTACTTTGATTGCTCTGTGCTTTTTTTCTTACTTTATAAAATAGGTTTATCTTATATTTGGTTTAATGAAACATCTCTTTATAATTAGAAGTCTCATGAAATGTACCCATCAAATTTCCTATTTAAAGAAAACATTTGCGTATTTCTTAGTCTCTAACGTGAGTACTTATGAACAAGCTTATTTTAAAGCTTTTAGATTGGTGAAGTAGTTTTCTGACTCATTAAGTCAACAGATTATGTTTGAATTTGAGCAATAAGAACAATTAAAACTCAACAATAAATCTGTGCCTAGTTTTCAAGTTTTTTTCCCCTCTAAAATTAGCACAGTATCTCCTAAGATAGGATTGTAGGGCAATTTGATCTAATATTTTATCTCATACTCTCAGTTACCTACTTTTGATTTTAAAATAAGAATATTTGGCTTTCTTTTGATAATACCCTTTTCCTTTAGAATTTTTATTTGTCAATTTTGGCATTGAATAGAATGTGCCATCATTTGCATATTATCAGCTCTTTTGAACAGAACACGTCTATTTCCTTAATGACCCAGCTTATCTTTTCATCTTCATTGTTTTGTTTTTTTGGACCACCAAAAGAATGGATTTCTATCCTAATTCAGAACCAGATACTTGATTTTTCCAATTTTACATTGTTTGATTTCATTTTTTTCTCTATTCAAAACCAATGCTAAAGTCGTTCAAAGAAACAAGAGGTATCTTATTTATTTAATAAAAATAATGAACTTGTAAAAAGAGAGAGTTTTGATTTGTTTTGCAAAGCTATCAGATGTTGAATGCAGTAATTCTCGCTTTATAATATAAATGTTAGCTATGTAAGTCCCTAGTCTTGAAATTCCACCTTCAGAGAAAACACTTCCGTGGTTTTAATATACCTTACCTTTGGACAATACCATGTCTGCGAGCTTCCCCGGAAATCACATATAGACAAGACTGAAACATTCTGAATTCTTTTCAGCCACTGCAAACATATTCGTTCATCAGTAACCCACGTGATCCAACTGAAATAATAATCACTGCAAATAAATCAAAACCGGCAGTCACAACCATAAACCAATATCACATTCAAACAATTTCTGAATTTCTGTTTTCTAAAGGATGTATTTTATTGTTATTAAATATTTGTTTCATAAACAAGGGAGGCAAAACTTTCCTTTCTCTGCAGAGTAAGTTTAAATATACCTGCTGAGTTTTAAAGAATATCTATAAGATATCTATATATCTACACATATAAGAGAGCTCGTTCATCTAATGGGATTATTTTATACTTCAGTTTGCTCCCCATTTTATATTTTTATATTTTAGAAAAGAATTTAAGACATAAAGCCAAAGCTACTGGTCAATGTACAGGAGAAAAAGCATTAAATTAGCTATTTAGCATAGGTAAACTCAATTTTTGCTTCTAGTATATATATATTCATCATTAACTCACTAGAAGTGAAGTATAAACACCTATTAAGAAATCTATGTTAAAATTCAATTTCAAAGGTGGAAAGCATCTGAGATTAGTATACCTTGAGGCTATCATTGCTGGAACTGGCACTTCTACGGGACCTACGTGCTCAGGGTAAGTGGTATCGACAATAAATATCCGAACAACAGGATTCTTAGCTCCAGCCTGCCAAAAAAATAGAGATAGATAAGCTCACATAATGCTAATTATCACCAACACTTGAAAGACACTTTAGGAATTTAAGCATACTTTTATAAGCTAAAAATGTTAAGTATATTTCTGTTGAAAACATTCTAATTATAACATGACCAGGAATTTTATTTTAATTTTACTTTCAGGGAAATTATAAATATTGTGTCAACCAGTGTGAAAACACATATTTTAAGCAATTTATGAGGCAGCTTTGATTCATAGAAAAAAATATTTTAGATATGGAAATGTAGTTCTGTAATCGATATTCTCTTTTCTGATTTTTAAGACAGATATTTCCCATTATTTATTATTATTAGTAGTAGTAGTATTTATTATTATTTCTCCCTCTGCTAGGGATAGTACAGAGGTAGACTGGTGTTGGAAGGAGAGTGTAAAAATAAGTAATAAAATATTCTTTTTGCTTTTACCCTATAATTTGGTCCAGACAATCACCAAACACTCAGTCTTCTAGCTGGTTACATTACTACTGCTATCATCCCTCCAAATTAGGGAAATTTCACCTCCAAATAAAGGTCTATGGAATTTATACTTTTCTTGTTTTGTGCTTTCTGTGCTATTATACACCCTAAATTGATACGACAGTATAGTTCATGCCCAAACAGCTTCTTAGAGTTTCTTGTTATTTTACCACGGAAAAGGAGAATCGTGTAATTGTTAAAGAACTTAAACCCACAATTTAGGTAAGTCATCTTAAATGATCCTGTGCTGCTTGGATTTACCTAAGAAATTGCCCAAGCTTTCCTCTGACCTCCTTGCTTTACTCAAGGCTCCGCTGGGACATCTTGCTTCTTCCAAGTAGTCTCACCTCTCAGTCCAAAGTCAGATGATTCAGCAAATTTAGTCTCCAAAGAAACAGGAATTTGGGTCCCAACTTCTCTGTCAGTGTTGGTCACTCCTCAGTTCTGGTTTTCTTCAACTCTTCCTGCTCCCTTCCACCCTCCTACCGATCCAAGTCCTTTTACATCTTGGATACCAAATATTACACCTCTCATTTCCAAACATCTCCAGCTTTCAGACTTTATATATAGCCCTTGAGAGGTCTCCTACCTCAACACTCATCTCTGTCCCTTGATTTTCCTCAAATGATTTTAAACATAAATTTTAAACTGTCTGGAATTTCTATTTCTGTCGTTATGGCCACTTTGGCTCACTTCAGAATCCACTTGTGTGTAGGCACACCCATCTCATTTTTGTCACATAGGGACCCACTGGATCCATCCATGACACTGTTCCCCTTGGCAAGTAAAAACAATAGGGACAAAAGGACACTGAACTACATTCTAAAATCACTTTCACTCCTTGTGCAAGAGGAGAATTTGTGATTCGATCTCCTGTCAGATTTCTTCTCTAAATTAAATTAGGATATTATGTTCTCAACTATGACTTGGCCATTCTCCAGCTGCACATACAGGTCTCTTTAGATGTGGGAATGAATGAAAAATATATACACTAAGACTTCTAGAATGTTTATGCAAATATCTTTTGGCTCACACCCAGCCTAATTCACTCAAGGCTCACAAACTTAAGCTACCTTGCATGTCCAGAAAAGATCATAACTCATGCCTGCTTTTCCTGACAGGAACATCAAGTTCAACATTTGTATTTCCCATTCTAGTTTGCATTTACATGAGAATTCAAGAAGGAACTGCAAAACAGAACTTTACCCTGAATTTGGAGCATGAAATATGAAAAAATTAAATTTAAGTTCAGCTTGTTTTTCCTCTATGATCTAGACCATATGTTTTTCAAAGACTCTGCAATAGGATTTAGCAAAGACTACTTCATCCAGCACAACCAGATGTCCAAAGCAACAGATGTCCACATAAATAATAGATCACAGTACAATGTTTGCTTTACAATGCACAAGGATAAGAAGCTCTCCAAACTTGTTGATCCCACCTCTTTTCATGGTATTGGTTGCTCATTTTGACACTACGGAAATAAAAGCATCTGCTAAAAGTATTCAACATACCTTTGGGTATGGAATATTTATTGTTCTAGGATATTGCTCATCACCATAATAAGAATAGGCAATAACTGGTATCTCTGTGTCATTAAACTCTGCATATGCCAAAAAATTTCCATTTGGAGACCACCAGAGAGCATATTTTGTAGCAAGCATTTCCTCTGAAAAATAAATACAAGCATATTAATTACAATTAAAGCTTACTCTTAAAATCATTATAAATACTTCAAAATACATTGTACATATTAATTTATTGCCTGAAATAATTTATTTAATGTAGATTTGACATATGCCATACTTTGGTTATTAAAAGATAAATAATCTGGGTTTAGAGGAATAGTTAGCCCTATACCCCTTATCAGATAATTAGTCTTCTTAGGATTTGACATTAATCAGAAATGTAATTTTAAAATTAAATAATAAACATATTAACAATAATTACTTTTTACAATAGTTCTTATAGTTCTTATAGTTACCTAAAATAGCCAAAACAAGGAAACTGTAATTATACTACAGAGTGATATAAACATTAAATGCTGACTTTCTCTCTTGGGAATATTATTTTAAAAAACACTTAAGTTATATATATATTTTTTTATTTTTTTAAAAATAAAAGCAAGAACCAGAAAACCTTTTAAAGTCAATTAAGTCCTAGATTTTACAGGACCTAGAAAGGGGACAAAGTTCACAGAAGTATAAAAACAAGAATATTTTCCTGCAAAATAATATAGACAGTTGTTTAGTTTGGGGAAAAATATTTATTTCTCAAGAAAAAACAAACCTGAGAAAATGTACTAACAGCATTAAACTTCTTAGGATATAAATTATCACTACCACTTTATAAGGCTCATTAAAACTAAACTTTAAAGTCTAATAAGATTTTGTTCTTTCAGAATGTGCCTGTCCTGTTCAGAACATGGATAACAGCTTTCAGAAATGCCACCATTCATCTCGGTAACATACCACTCATCTAAATATTACTAAATGTATGCAATTATTTTCAATTAAAAGTCTAAAACAGCAACAGTAGAAAAAGAATACAGCTTACCTTCATAAACCCAGTCTGGAATTCCATTAAATATTTTATTTTCTTGTCCATTATACGTTATTTGAAAAGGTGGGTTTTCTGGACTTTGTTTCAAATAGATATTGTTTTGATATACATATGCCTGGAAGTGGTGGTAAGCTAGTTAATAAAGGGAAATGCCATAAGAAATGCAATTAAGTCCATATATTTGTGTTAATTATTGACCTAATTAATTTTAAAAGTATAGCAATCCAGAAGCAAAAAGACTTGCAACTACAATATCATTTTAATAGGTCGAAAAACCCAACCAACTCACATTATCATAGGTTGTCATTTTTAAAGTCTATATCAAATAAAGAATAAAGACTACTATTTTTGCTAGTGGTTTTATTACCAAGTAATTATGTATATTAACAGAAAGTAAAATAAATCTCTGAATATTAATAGCTAGCCAGATCTAATCTTTATTTAGAGTCCTTAAATAAGAGCTTGGACAGAATTTCATGTTGTCTGAAGCTAGTCTGGGAAACTTGTGAAAACCATATTTTCCCTGAGCTTTCTGGCACAGCGCATCCTGGCTGCGTGTAAGGATAAAGTTTCTGACTGCGCTATTTAAAGAGTCTACCCAGGAGCTTGAGATTTTGCGGAACTCTCAGATGCGTTTCAATTGATCAGAACTCTTCTTGTTTTTAACCACTAAAAAAAATAGTAATAAATGTATTTCTTTCTTTTAGGCAAGGGAATTTAACAGAGGCAGAAATCAAATGGCTCCTCTTTTATTTAACTGATTAAACACTTCTGCAATTTAAACACTTACTAATTTACTCCCAACAGGAGACCAGCAAATATACTGAATTGGATGAGGAAGCTCATTTCTTCTCACAAAATCTCTAGAAGGGAAGAAAGACAGGAAGGAGGAGGGGGAGAAGAAGAAGGAGAAGAAGGAGAAGAAGAAGAAGGAGAAGAAGAAGGAGAAGAAGGAGAAGGAGAAGAAGGAGAAGGAGAAGAAGAAGAAGGAGAAGGAGAAGAAGAAGAAGGAGAAGGAGAAGAAGAAGAAGGAGAAGAAGAAGAAGGAGAAGAAGGAGAAGGGGAAGAAGAAGGAGAAGAAGGAGAAGGAGAAGAAGGAGGAGGAGAAGAAGAAGAAGGAGAAGAAGAAGAAGGAGAAGAAGGAGGAGGAGAAGAAGAAAAAAAACCTTGCTGTTCAATGCAAAACAAAACAAAACAAAACCAACAACCTGTATAAACAGAAACAATAAGCAAACAATAAAAATGAAGGGTCATCCTCTTTGCTTCTTCAACCCAAATGGAGAGAATGCAGCCCCTGAGGACTGGAGCGATGGGGCAGTAGTTATAGTTCTTTAGTAGTTCCTTAGAAGTCATTTAACTTCTCTGGGTCTCCGGGTTCTGACCTTTGTAGTGAGGTGAATGAATTAAAGATTTGTAGGCTGTGAAAGTGGGAATAGCTCTAGAAATCATCTAATGGAACGCCTTCGATTTATGGAAAATAAATGTGAGGTTAGAGGAATTGCATGACTTTTAAAAATCACACTGTTAGTTCTTGGCAGACCCCCAAGTTAAACTCAAGTCTCTAACCCTCATTTGTATACACCAGGCTAAGGTGGTTGCTGAGGTGCCTTCCGTTCTGAAATTCTAGAGTGGTGCTGGAGCTTAATGCATACCCCTGCACATGCCCATTCACAACCCCCATCTCTGTGGATGCATATGCATTTCGAATTTTTGAAAATAAGATGGCATTGGACAATCTCTTCAGGAATCTGACTTGAAATAAGGAACATCTCGTCTCAAACTAAACTGAGAAACAGATCATATACTGGGCAGTATGACTTAAGCTTGAAAAGTCCTACACCCATGGGGAAACTTCAAATATCCTAATTAGCCAAAAATCTTGCTCTTATCCTCACAGTCACCTTACAAATACCCAATGAACCGACTTGTCCTGTGGAGCTTTTGTACTTCTTCAGCAGGAACGTGTTCCGATTTTACGTGTTTAAGAGTCATAAGATGCCATGCCTAAGTTTTAATTATTATCTTCTTGAAGATTGTATTAATAGCTTCGTTTAGATTTGGAAGCAGCCCATGAGTGAATTAAAAAAAGCTGTGGTACATTTACACCATGGAACACTACTTGACCATAAAAAAAAAAAAAAAGGAAAAAAAAGGAATTCTTATCCTTTGCGACAGCATGGATGCACCTGGAGAGCATAATGTTAAGTGAAATAAGCCAGACAGAGAAAGACAAATGCCGTAGGATTTCACTTATATGTGGACTCTCATGAACAAATTTAACTAACAAAATAGAAACAGACTCATAGATAGAGAGCACGCTTCCAGCTGTCAGAGGGGAGGGAGGTTTGTGGGGGCTGCGTGCAAAGGATGAAGGGATTGAGCAAGGAAAACAAAACACAAAATCCTCATAGAGAGAGAGCAGCACGGTGATTACCAGAGCGGGAGGAGGGTGGGGAGAGGTAGGATAAGTTATAGGGGGAATAAATGGTGATGGAAGGAGACTTGGCTTGGGGTCGTGAGCACACAGTACAATATACGGATGATATACTGCAGAATTGCAAGCCTGAAACCTGTATAATTTTATTAACGAATGTCACCTCAATAAATTCAATTAAAAAAAAGAAAAAGAATGCTTCTGTGGAGACCCAAAGCAAGACACACATGGGGAACATTTAAAATCTTGCTCCCTGGCATATGTCACCAGTTTGGCTTAAAATCTCAAAAAAATGAGGGGGAAAAGAGACCTACCTCCCAGGTGTAGTGTGAGAAGCCTGAAGAAACTCCCTTGTTTCCTTCTCCAAAACAATGTCTCCAACCTGGACCTAACATATACTTGACACGTTTTAAACTTTGGAAACTGTCAAGAGTTGTAATATACATTACCCTGATTTAAATGATTAGGTCATGCAGCATGAGGCCTAGTGAACAACGGGGGAACACGGCACTGGACAGACCAGTTTGGATTGGAAAAAGGGTGCGCCCATGGGGGAAGAAGAGCATTGGTACCGCAATGGGAATCCTGACTGCCAGAGAGCAGTTCATGAGCACCAGGCCCCTGGAAGGTCTGGAACAAAGTGAAACACATACGAGGGCACAGGCAAAGAAATGACCCAAGGAGAAAACGTTCTTCACCTGGTTTACAATCCTGTCTCACGCCAGTGTTCCTGTTACCTCTGACATTGTAACGCTTCCTGACATTGGCACATGCTGTGGAATCATCTAGGCAATATGTAGACAGTGCCAAGCTGAAAATCTCAGCACACAGTCTCTTCATGACTGGCAAGTCACCACAGTTGCCATTTTTTGTGCTTTCTAAATAATTAACAGAATGAGAGGAAGTGGAGGAGGCTGTCATCTCCTCAGTATTCCTTCCCTTCCTTGAAACCAGAACCATCTTCATTTTCTCTGTGGATTTTTATAGACTCTTCCGAGGCACGTAGAAGACTTTGTTAGTCATATGCAATTTTGTCTTGAATCTCAACAAATTTGTCACCCCTCACTTTCTAAATTACTGTATATTTACCTAACAAAAAAATCAATCTGGTAAATTAATAGTTGTGAAGGAAAAACTCCAACAACAATGATTTGATTAAATTCACTGCACAAAAGCTAAATATTTAAAATTATTCTAGGCCTTAAAGCTTATGTAAACCATGATTAAAATAGTATTGCCATATTCTTTTGGAATTCTGTGTAATTTGGTAAACTTCAACATAGGTAGGATTTGGAGAATTTCAAAATTTTTAAAAGAAAAATAAGAAAGTGATTAATGTTTTTCCTAAGGTATTAATTAACTCAGTACAATTTCTTAATTTTATTGAAAGAGTAGGTTTTCTCCTCATCAGTCTCAATGTTTCCTGAGAGTAGGGTTGGTGCCTTGAGCTCATTTGTATCCTTCCCTATATGCTTTTCACAAAGTAGGTGCTCAATAAATATCTCTTGAATTTGGTGACAGTGGATCAAAGAAGAGAAAGAGTGCATTTGATGACTTTAGTTTCTACTTTACGTGCCAGTTCCTGTTTCTTAATTTGACAGCTTAAGGAGATCAGAAAGTTTAAAAGAAGTAGATAAGTATTTTGTTGAATTTTTGTGCTCTTGCTAAACAAAGGGGGAAATAGACCATAAGATTTTTAATACCTCTTCAAGACATATAATTATTTTTCCCTTTTATATAACACAAATAGGATATCACATTAAGATGAGTAACTAAACCAATTCATTGTCCAGTCTTAGTCAAAGCGATTTTTCTAAAGTGCAAATGTGATCATGTCATTTCCCATTTAAAACTCTTCAGTAATTCCCTATTGTCATCAGAATGAAACCTAAACTCCTTTTAATAGTTTCCTCGTTATTATTTGGCCCACACTTCCTGGCCTCAACTCTTTCCCAACCTTACACCACCGCCCAGCAGTCAGCAAGCTCTCCTCTAGTTTCAACTCAACTGACCTACTTTCAGTTTCCTGAACACTCCACCCTCTCCATTCCCTTTGTGCTTTTACATAATATTCCGTCTGCCAGGAATTCCCTTTCTCAGTCCTTCTCCTACTGACTTATTCATTCATTTTTTTTCTCTTTGAAACTGTAAATATTTCAAATAGTTAAATATACAAATAAAGAAAGAAAATAATATAATAGATGACAATTAACATTTTGCAATTTTAAAAAAAATTAATTAAAAATTGACTAACGGGGTACATGTTCAGATACAACTAATGCTGTGCTTCCTTCCCTTCTGCTTCCTTCCAATGAAATAGCCACCCTCCTAAAAACGTACATTTATTACATATGTTTATATCCATAAATAGTATTTTTGTAATTTGGTGTTCAAACCTAGGGGGGAAATATATTGTGTATAAAAATGCAAAATATTAGCCAAGCAAAAAGATGAATATTACATAGAAATATTTCCTTGAATTTCTTAATTTATGAGTGCACATATATTGTAAAGAAGTAAGGAGCAAGCTAATGGAGATAATGGAGTCAACCTCAAATCAGAGTTTGGAATGAAGACATCTATATATTAGATTTAAGTAGTATTCATAAGTAGACATGAAATTTTACCCATTCCTAAGGTCATAGATGTGGTACGTTGCTGTGTAAGAGTATCTCCAAAGCTGTCAGAAAGAAGAGAGGCAAACACAAATTTTAATTTTTTAAAAGCTTATATCAGGAATGTATAATCATAGATCATTCGATTCTAGGTTCTGAAATAGTCCTTTCATAAAAGGACTATTTTCACAGGGCACCAGGAAGGTTATGTTTCAATTCCTAATTAGTCTTCATTTAAATAATTTTACTGTAGACTTTTGTGCTGTTTGTCCAAGTTCCAGAACTCAGCAGTGATTCAACCCTCACTCCAAAGGAACCATATTCAAAGAAAAACCTTTCTTAAGGTAACAAGTTTTTCTTTGACACATTCTAGCCTAAGACTTTTCCCTTTATATTTTACCTTGATTGAAGTAAAACCACTGTGGTTTCCATGGCCCATGAGGATTACCTTGCACCTGAGTAACTGGTTATCATGATATCCATTAAAAGGGGGTAAATAGAATTTCATTCCACATATGATTTTATTGCAAAATGCTTGCCTTTCTTTGAGTATGGTTTTTTAAATTAATAGAAATTGGGGGGAAAAAGGACATATATAGCTCATAATCCCTCCTTAAAAAACTGCTGTGTTTTTTTTTTCTCATATTTATATTGTGGTTAGTGAATAATGCAGGTATTATTTTGGATTTCATGCCTTGAAAAGGTGTTCAAACTCTTGGCAAAGAAGTGCCAGAAGGCTGAAACATGTCTTTCTGGAGAGAGCTGGTACCAGGACCCAGTCCTATGGAAAATAATCAGTTGACTGAACAACTGGAAGGGGCAAGATGAACTTTTCATTCTGAATTTTTTTAAAAATATATCTTTATTGATTTCAGAGAGAGGAAAGGAGAGGGAGAGAGAGATAGAAACAATGAGAGAGTCATTGATCGGCTGCCTCCTGCACTTCCCCGACTAGGGATAGAGCCTGCAACCGGCCATGTGCCCTGACAGGGAATCGAACCCCAATCGTCTGGATCCTAGGTCCAACGCTCAACCGCTGAGCCACGCCCGGCCGGACTTCATTCTGAATATTAAGGGAGTTTTGCATCTCAAGTAGGATATGAAAATGATAGGTAAAACTAAAGGTTCTTGATCTAAAAGTAATTATTAGATGTTTAATTCAATAGTAAATTCCCTTGACCTTTTGCAAAATTAAGATCATCTTGAAGATGTGTAAGTAGAAAAAAAATAAGTTGATTAACTTACCCTAAAACTTCAGAAATGGAAAATTAAGTAAGAGTACATGGTCTGGCTTGGTGGATTCTCTTACACTAGGCCTTTGAAGACACAGGCTTAAACCCTGGTCTACCACTGACTGAATATTATCTTGCTTGGGCAAGTGAGTTAAATAAGTTACATCTTGATTTTTTTCATTTTAAATCATAATAAACTTTTATGAGGTTAAAATGTAGTAATTAACTAATAATTTATGATTTCAAATAGCTTTAGAAATACAAGGATAATTCACTCATTTTTGATAAATATCAGTGCCCCCAAACAAAGTGTTTTTCCCCGAAGGAAGGTAGTTTCTACCACTTGCTGATATCCCAACAAGTAAGCTAAATTATTTGTTTACTTTCAGTTATGCTTTCTGGGCTCATCTAGAGTCCACATTAACTTCTTGAATATTTAGAGATAAAAACAGACTCTTGCTTCTTCTTACATTTATAAAGCAAACTGTGCATTAGTAGGAGATATAATCAGATACACCCAAATTAAATAGGCAATACCTTTGAATAATCACTTTCCAGATATGCAAATTGACGATCAGGTGATAAGCCAAAATTTGAAGCATTCACACTTTTCTGTAATTATGAAAAAAATGATTAGAATGCAGAAAAAACAACAGATCCATGTTAATTCATAATTCTAACAGAATATCATGTCTTTGATATATCCTGCATGCATACATCTTCAATGCAATTTTTAAATGTTTATGTAGTACCTACCATATACAAAGAAATTTACTAGACACTATGGGAGTAGAATATAATAAAGACATACTTTGTGATTTCAAGAAGTTTATAATGTTAAACTTGTAAACAACATATTACAAATTAGTTTTATAAAAGATATACATAGAGCATGACAAAAGCCTTAAGGAAGAAACGATTGAACCCACTTGCACAGAGGAGAGCGCCATCTGTGCTTGGCTTTGAAAGATTCGTGGGCTCTTGAGGGCAGAGGAAGGAGAAGGATTCAGAGTCCAAGAGAAGCAAGTACCATGTGCCTATGAATCGCAGCTACCATTTACTGAGTATTTATCTATGTCGGGCACTGTCCTGTGCACTTTCAAATGTTGCTTCACTTAATTCTTATATTAATCCAAAGAGGTGTTACTTTTCCTACTTTACAGAAGAAACTGAAGTGTGATGATGTTAGTGCAGTGTGGAACCTTACCCAAGTTTCCACATCTGGTCAGCGACAGAGCCAGGATTTGAACCTTAGTTCGCCTGACTATAGGGATTGAGTTCTTAACTTTTACCTCATACCGTATTATTTCCACAGGGGAAGAAAGATGCTAGGTGATTTAGAGGAGGGCAGGGCAGTAGTTTAGTGTGACTAGAAGAGAGAATTAAAGAAATACAGTGGGGATGGAGCTGAGAAGGCAGGTGGGGTCCAGATCAGTTGGGAAGAGTTGGGACTCTTTCTTGATCAGTGAAGAGCTGGCAAAGGCTTTTGAGGAGGAAGATGACGTTGGGTACATACCATGGTGGTATTACTCAAAATGGTATATGATTCTCCTGTTTCTATGTTATAGAATACTATATTGTTATCTGTAGATTGATGGAGATATTCTTGCCCTTTAAACAAGAAGAAAACAACACTTGAAATAATCTTCCTTAACAGAAAAGACATTTATAACAGAGACACCGCTCTTATTTCACAGGCTTACTTTGTTTTTCTTCTTTGTCCAGCACATATTACTTTGTCAGATTTAAATAGTAAGTAAATGGTAAGGGGAGAAAAGAACACTTTTTCCTAGTTTCCACAAAGAAGCCCTGTTAGTAGCAGCCCTATTCTAACCAGTTCAGGGTGTTGGAATAAAATTGGATTTTATCTGAGTTACAAAGAGGATAAATTAGTTTAAAATGGTTAAGTTTCTTTTGCAACAAAAATACATTTAATTTTTCTAAAGAGAAAAATGAAAAATATTCTATTTTGTTTAGTGGCACTTTAGACAAACCATACTGTCATAAATAATTTACTTGACTTTATTATTTGTTTGATTAGCCTTATTTGAGAACATCCTACTTTATAAAACTACATGTAAATATCAATTTTATGGCCCTTAAAGGATTTGTTTTTAGATAGAATTTGCCCATTTTTGTGATTATCCAGATCAACAATGGATTTCTTTTTTGGTAAAATTCTTATGACCTCTCTTAAATAAGTACTTATCTTCCATTCTGAAAAGCTATATATATGTTCAGGTTATTCTAACAATTCTTAGCTTTTCTGGCCTCATTATTTCAGGGGAAATCTGGTCTAAATGGTTCCATCAAAAGTGCTTTGCTGGCCACTTGATTTATCTAAATAATTGCTCTTTTTCCCCCCATGTTAACTGATATAGCTTCTGTTACCATAGAGATGCACTGGCACTAAAAGCAAAAACATACTTTTTTTTTAATCCAAAAGTAAAAAAAAATAATTCACCTACCTGAAATCCAGGTTGGGAAAAATGTCCTATAAGAAAATGTCCCATTTAAAATATCTTTCAGTGTGAGTGCTCTTGTATTTCCTTCAGAGTTGTGATCTTTGGGGGAAGAAGAAACATATTATTATAAAAAAGAAGACTAATAACTCAGGTAAATTCTAAGCCTCTCTCTCATCTGTTCTTTCTCATATAATAAAAAAGATCTGACATTTGCAAAAACACTTGTTTAACTCCTGTCTGAATAGGTAAAGTATCATCTCCTTTTTTTATAGACAGGGTAACTGAGGCTTAGGCTGATGGTTTGATTGACTGGAAGGGAAAACTGGTAGGAAAGTATTGAAGAGTCTGCAAGGGTATGGAGGGGGATGATGCTGGGCAGTGGGGTCATTATTCTTCAGTCAGTGAAGAATTGTTAGAGATATTTAAGAAGGAAACTAAAGTGAGGTTCCAACTCTAAGCCTTGCAAAGCTGGGATTGAAGACCGTGTGAGTTTGACTAAAAACCTAGCCTCTTAAGCACTTTACTGCATTTCCTCACATATGCTTGGCTTGGATTTCTACTGATTTATAAATGATGTATTTAGCAGCCTAGTTGGTCAGGTGAGATCAGCCAGAATCCTTACCTTCAGACATCTCAAGAGAGGCTTTAATGAATAGAGATAATTGCTTATCCTGACTATGGATTGTTTAAACAGAAAGTGGATCAGAAGAAAAGAAAACCACATCATCTGGACAAATAATCTTAGAAATTCCAAGAGTACAGACATTTTTTCATATAAAAGCTAACCTAAGGTAGCTTATAACCATGAGCAAATTTTACCTATATTTAAATTGCCCAATTGTGTTTTTCTAACATGAGTATTCTCAGAGCCCTGAGACAGTCAGATGTGTCAAATGGATAGTATGGAAACCAACTTTCCATCTCCCTCATGTCTGTATTGCCATTCTCTACCCCTCCCGCTGTACCCCCTTCTCCAGGCCATCACTTACAGAACCAAAACTTAGAAAAATGTCCTATACCTTGAATAGCATGCATGAATCTCATATTTGCCCATGTAAAAATAAAACTGTTGAATATGAGAGTTTCATCTTCCTGCTAAAATCTTCCATATCTTTCCATGACTGTTAGAATAAAGGCCAAAAATGTTAGCCTGGACTATAGGCCCTAGCTGGTCTGGGGCCTATCCCTCCAGCCCCTTCTTGTCCCTCTCTCATTACTTTCTAGACTCCAAACATACTAGGTTTTCTGTTCCTCAAATACTCATTTCCTTCTCCAGGGTTTTGGCACATTTTCCCACCCTCTCCCTTCTTCTCATAACTTCTGTTCAGCTTTTAGTACTCAATATAAGAGCCACTTTCTCTGGGAAACCCTTCCTGACCCTTTGGTTTAGGTCTGGCTCCCTTATTACACATTATCACAGGCTATGTTCTTTTTAAACGAGCATCTGTCTTGGTTTGTGATGATGTATGTACTTGAGTGATTATTTTATTAATATTTTTCCACCTCCCTTTGTCTTCTTGAAACAGAGGCTATGTATGTGTAGTTTTACTCATCACATCCTTAGTGTCTAACACATAATAGGCATTTAATAAATACTTGTTGAATAAATACATATATGAAATGAAGGATGGAAAGATGGATGAATGGAGGGATAGATGGATGGGGTTTGTGCGCTCTTCTTTACAGAATGATCTACTGCTATTTCCTCTATGGCTTCGGTAAGTCAATCTCTGGCATCACAGCTTTCTCACCTGTAATATAAAGGACTGGACTAGAAAGTGTTGATAATACCTTTCAGTTCTACCATGTTAGATTTTTAAATTTGAGGCACAATATACTCTACTAGTCTTATAGTTACATAAATATACTGCCATGTGAAAAGAGCCAATTGACTAACTGGATAATAGCATCTTCTGCTTTTTTAATTGATTAACACTGAAGTATGTATTCCCCACACAATTGATTAGGACCATGAATTATTTTCTTAATTTACTAAAAATTATTCGCCCGGCCTGGAAATGCCTCAGCGGTTGAGCGTCGACCTAGGATCCAGGCGATCGGGGTTCGATTCCTGGTCAGGGCACATGCCCTGGTGGTAGGCTCGATCCCCAGTCGAGAGGAGTGCAGGGGGCTGCCGATCAACGACTCTCATCATTGATGTTTCTCTCTCTCTCTCTCTCTCCCCCTTTCCTTTCCTCTCTCTGAAATCAATTAAGATATATATATATATTTTAAATTACTCTGGTGGCTATAAGAACACAAGTTACTGATGAGCCCCTTTGCAACCAAATAGTAAATACTGAATAACATTAGTTTATTCTCTATTTTAAAATGATCACCTTCTTACATTCTTTTTGCATCCTGAGGTTGAACATGCCATATGATTACTTATAATGAAAGCTTTTCTATTTAATTAAATGATTTTGTGCAAAATTCATATCACTGATTTTATAATTCCTAATAAATGAATAAAAGAGAATTTTACTAAAATAGCACTAGAAAAATTGCTGAGCATTTTAATTCAATGTTATTTAACTCTCCTAAGGACAAATTGCAATCTGTTTCTAATGTTGTCAAGGAGAAATACTAGCATTATTATTTGCAGTGAAAATTATTATGTTTTATTGATTTTTAGAGAGAGATGAAAGGAGAGAGAGAAACATTGATGTGAGAAACTTCGATCGGTTGCTTCCCTTACACACCCTACCAGAGATTGAACTGTCAACCTAGGTATGTGCCCTGTCCTGGAATCGAACCTGCAACCTTTTGGCATATGGGATGATGCTCTAACCAACTGAACCACCCAGCCAGGGCAAAAAATATTTTCCTTTTGAGATAAATTTAATTTGTGTCTACACAATCTGGAACATACAAGATATAAAATTCAGTGAATTCGTTTATTGTGAATACCAAAAATTACTAGATAATCTATATAGAGAACTAAGCATATGTCATATTATGACTCAAATTATCTGCATAGCAATTTTAATCATGTATTAATTATACTACTAATTGCCATGATGATAATAAGCCCCACCAACACTCAAGAAGTAATGAGTAGATGTACAGAAAATACACCCAGAGGAGCCAGCCTTATCTCTGAGAAAACAGGGTTCAAACACAGATTTGGGTTAGGCGAATACTCCTGACCTCATGTGGTTCAGGCAAGGCTCAGAAGGTGTGATTATGCTGGAGTTGGGTGGGGTGCAGAATGAAACCAAATCAAACGGGAAGGCTTTCAATTAGTCATTCTTCTCTTTCTACTGAAAATTACCGTGTGTTCATAAGTGTAATGAAGTAATGTGTCTGCTCTGAGATGTTGCATTAGGTCACATATTCAGAGTTATAAAACATAAAGTTTACTTAGAATTTCCCATCCAAGCTCTGGTTCTTTGTATATTGTTTTACTACACTGCCAATGCTGACTGACCCCTATGATCAGCCGTGAGCAGAAATGACCTTCCATTGAGCTCTATGAAAATGCTTTTGGCTTATTGCTATCTCAGTTTATTGAATATAAACATTTTTTGTCTCTATATGTATGTGAATTGTATAAGGCACATGAGAGTAGAATCTGTGTTTGATTTTTCTCACTATTTTATGCCCAGTAGCTAGGACAATGCTTTACATATGGTGGGAGCATGATAAATATTTTTTGAATGAAAAAAATAAATCAACTTGACAGATTTTATGTTAACTTGTTTTCACTAATTTTCCCCCAAAGACATACCCGCCCTTGCTCTCTATCCTCCTGTCCATGTTGTAAGTTTCAACCTGGACATGCTTTCATTTAAAAATATATCCAAATTTAGTCCTTGGAGTCACTTGAGGTGCTTGTTTGAAAAAAAGATTCCTAGTCCTTACCTCAAACCTAATAATTCAGAATCTCTGGGGATGAGGCCCTGGTAGTTTTCATTTTTTACCAATCCCCCCAGGGGATTCTTCTGCAAAGAACCCAAATTTGGTTATTTCACTGAATCTATTCAGTGAAGTATACTTCATTGTATGCCTGAGCCTATCATCGGAATCGCTCCTTGACTATAAACTCTTAGTATGTGGGTGGTCATGGCCTGCCCAGCAATCCAATCCATATCTCATGGACATAGACCCCCCCAATAACTAAGTGTTGATCATAGCCTTCAACTAATGCTAACGATCTCCTGTAATGTTTATTTCCCTATGCAGTCCTCTTTGTTCACTGTTTTTTTTGTGTGTGTGTTTTTTTTGAGGTTATGCCCAATTGGATTCTTCTTTAAGTACATTCCCTCTGCTGATCCTTGAAGAATGGAGAAAGGACAAGGGGACTGATTTTGCCCAAGATCAGATTTAAGCAAGATTGCAGGGAAAGCATTGAGGGTCTTGTTTTCTAGTGTCACAAATGTGTGTGTATGTGTGTGTGTGTGTGTGTGTGTAAATCAGAATAAAATGTATCTCTATGGCATCAATCACACTAAACAAGTTCCAATAACCTGAAGATGCCACTAATAATTATTGAATGAATAATTGGATTTTCATCCCCCTTTGTATTATTTTGAAAGTTTAGTTTTGTCATGTATAATTTTTTAAAAATATGTTTTTATTGATTTTTTTAGAGAGAGAAGAGGGAGAGGGAGAGAGAGAGAAACATTGATGTGACAGAGAGATATCTCTCTGAATGCCTCCTGCATGTACCCTGACTAGGGGACTGAAATTGCAACCTGGTTTGTGCTCTGACTGCGAATTGAAAAGGCAACATTTTGGTGCATGGGACGACATTCAACCAACTGAGCCACACCAGCCAAAGCGATATGTATAATTTTTAAACTCTAAATATTTGAGCATAAGTAGAAATGAATTCTGAAAACATATCTGTCGTCTAGATGTAACTGATACTTACTTGATTAACACTTAATTACTGACAGTGTCGTTATAGTTAATTTGGCCCATCTTTAGCACAGTTCCTCATACACCACTTAACCACTGTAATTACCTATTATTATTTGCATTTCAACTTATTAAAGCAAGCTGAAAATTATTTCAATTATGAATTCAAGAAATTACAATTCACAGAAACGATTCACAAGTAATGATTCACTATTCCAATTCTTTCTAAAAACTTT